GAGTAAGCATCTTTATTTCTTATTTCATAGTTAATAATTTGCAATAAAATTATACCTATTTAAAACACCCATTTATCTGCGCATAGACTAAGATATAGAAATTGACAACAAAGTGCTGTGCCACGATGATTCCATTTGATAGCATAAAATGAGAGTTTAATCCATAAAGAAATATGTTTCTCGATATTTAACGAATTCATAATTATTACTTCAAAATTGAGGATAATTCAATTTGAAATTAAATATCATGGGTATCTGTTTTGGTGGGAGAAATGTAATTTATTAGCTCAATCTATGATATAAGAGCCTACTTTAAGAATATCGAATCATTGATTGATTCTGTCTAATGCAGATATAATTATTTTTCATGCTATTAATCAATAAATAGTTAATTAATAGGGAAGAAAATGGATTAAACTACATGACCATTATAAAACTTCTGCCAATCTATCCAACTAATAATAAAAGAAAGGATACTAAATGTGAGAAGAAATAATAGAAGTTCAATAAACCTGATCAAAGTATAAGGATGATTTGATAATCATCCAAACCCTACCAGGTGCGGATATTATTATTTTTTAATCTGCAAACAATTAATTAACGGAGAAGAAAGTCGGTTAAACCACAAAATTATTATAAAGATTCTTGTAATTTAAGCCAGCAATAATAATAGCACCGGACATTAGCACAGAAGAGAATATTAGCGTCTCAACAAGCTTAGGCAATGCATTTAAACGATATATCATTTTCTCTTATATCAATGCTATAGTGTAGGAAATAGTAGTTCTTACATGAATAGTAAACGTATTATAGTAAATTATCATCATAGATAAAAGTATCTTATGAATAGGATGATGGCTGTTGACGGTTATTTACTTACCGTATTTCCTATCATCAAATAGCTCCTATATTATCCCGTCTCATAAGTTAAATAATATCCCACTTAAATCAATAATTATGCTATGGAATTAATGATCCACGCCTTGAGATTCTCCATGCTTTGTATATCGTAACGACTAGAACCCAATCCATTATGGAGTCGCTGTTGTTGCTAGGATAATTGCTAATTATTTCGCATACCTTCATCATCTATGCGATCGAAATAATTATCTTATTATTATTTCCATAATAATAGATAAGAATAGATAATCAACATTGAATAATGGCTAAATCAAGTTGTCGATAAATCAATCATAATAGCAATTATGCATATCAAAGATAAAAAGACTATTATAAATTATAATTTAGTCTCGGTAGAAGAACAGGAAAAAGGCATTGTTATTAACGGTTTTTACCTGTTTTGATCCTATAGAATGAAGGTAAAAAAGATTAATTGAATTCTCGACTTTGTCTGTAATCTATTTTTACTTATTTGGAGTGTGAGATTGTTGTTTTATTTTTAATCAACAATAAATTAAATTGTGCGGAAATAGCAAGTTATACCTAGCGATAACATTTAAGTTTTGTTCTTCCTTGATGGATGATATATAAAGACATCACCATGAAGGAATGAGTGTATTTTTTTCTTTTTTTCATTGGCGTCTTACCAGTTAAAGCCAACTACTAATTAGCCGAGAATAAATGATTAATGAGCTGAATAATATAAGGTAAGTTATTTTTTCGACATCGTCAACAAATGGCTGTCTCTAAAAATGAAGTAAAGTAATAAATCAATTTATTTCTTCATCTGGTCACTTTGATCGATTTATTAATTTAAAGCTTTTTCATTAGAATAGTTGTTAAGTAATTTATTGGTGCGATTTCTATCATGATTTATGGTAGATATATTTAATTTGCAGCATAAAGCACTTGTGGGACTATTTCTTGCCGCTTTAGGATCCCAATTATAAAATTCTACTCAATAGATTCCATTTACTTTTTTCTAGAAACTTACAATTCTAAGCTAGAAAAAGTTATTTTAGTTTCATTTGTAAATGTTAATTTATCTTATATATACCCAAAAATGAATGGTTGCATGTTAGTCTTATTGCATTAATTAATAGAAATAATGAAAGATGTTGGCTGAATTATCTAGATGACACTACATTTAAAAAGATAATTTATTTTTAAGCTTTTAATTAATTTATACCGAACGGGTACTCACTTGAAGATCGACTTTACGAAACATAAACATGATAACTCAGATATTTGCGTATGCTGTTGATATAATATCTCGGATAGTGAAAAAATCTAGTCGAAGATAGGCTTGAACTCTAGAATTACAATCTATTTTTTTCTTTTATTTTTCAACCATGTGGTACCATGGTTAAGTGATCTCAAAACATATTCATTAAATTAACGACCATATTGATTTGGCAATCATCAGTAATCTTCAGTACTGTATATGATTACTGTCTTACACAGTAAATAACTAAGTACAACAGACGAAGTTGATATAAGCAAACTGTAAAATTGAAGATAGGCTCGAGCTCTAGACTTGCAATCTATTTTCTTCTTCATATTCTGCAACCATGGAGTACCATGATTAAATAATCATGAAACGTATTTATTAACTTTACGATCATAATGATTTGGCAATTATCATTAATTTCTGTATTGTATATGATTACTGTCTTTCATAGTAAATCACTAAGTGCAACAGACACAGTTAATATAAGCTAACTATAGATTATTTGAATTGAACAGGGCTGGCGTGGATAGATATAAAATCTTATTACCACGTAGCCAAATAGAATTAGACTAGAATTGTAGTTACTGCCAGTTATAACTCTAATTTCATTTACATCTTCTAATCATTCTTTGGATATATTAATCAATGAAGTTTTATATTTTCCTACAGTAGAAGAAATGAAGACTATCGTGACTTTATTAACTATAGCTCTCATTAATTAATTATTTCGTCATCTTCAATAATGCGTTGCAGATTTTTAGCAATCGTTACTTAACTAAATTATTCTTTTCCTTACGTTGTGATGTTTAAATTATTGATATCTCAGAAAGGATAGGAAAGTAATGATCTCATACTAGTACGAAAAGAATGTAAAAATTAGAATTTGAGTGGGACAACGAACCAGAATACAAGTTATCATCGATTGAGTACTTGAATTATTTGTTTAGATCAGCGACTTTTTTCAATCCAAGTGCTAAATAATTCAAGATTTACCATACGACGTATGCTACTACCACCCTTGTTAATTTAATATCAAAAGCCCAAGTTAGCATTTTTCCGTAATTAGTTGGTTTCTGTGAATACTTAATAATAGACTACTTCAATTTGTCTTTATTTTTGCAGGATATTGATTGGAATAACCCTTCCACACCAGATTATGTCACGAGAAGTTAGTTTTGACAAGTGAAATTTGAATAAGGAAATACTCTAGTCTACGATGTAGTCGATGAGATCAAGTTAAATCTAATTCTATTCTTCGCTATCACTACTTGGAGTAACGAAATAACTATCCAATTTGTTACCATAGTCGCTAAATCAAATTAAATTAAGTTATAGACAACGGGTAAATGAGCAGTTATGATTCAGTAAGTCTACATGGGAAGTAGTGGTGGACATAAATTTCATTTAAGAATAATGAAATTAACATACTATGGCTAAAAATTGCTTAATCATCAACGCTATTGTTGGACTCATTCTACATCATCTTGTTAATATAAAATGGTTTAAATGAGCAAGGAGCGATATATCTTAAATTGATTTAAACTCTATTCACATTTTTCTTTCCATCGTGTACCGAAAACTAAATTGAAATGAGCGATTGATAGTCTCCTGTTTATAGCATAGCCTGTACAGAAGACATAGTTTATATAAGCCGATATATAACTTGGATAGGATTTTCCTTCCATCTTCAAAGCGAGCTACTCCCTTCACTAGTTGCTGTAAACTAATAACGTTAATTTATTTTTAGCTCTAAAATTATTTTATTAGCTACTATTATACATTAACTTAGCCGGTAATAAGATTTATCCAAGTCTGCGTAGGAAGGCAAACGTGAAATATTGTTAGGGATGTGGTTCCCGTTTTATTTCAATTGCTTCATATCCAGTAAGCTAAATCTACCTATTTCTCGATAGTTTTAATTCTATTTTTGGAAATCTTTCTATTCAATTCAATTTTCTTGTTATTGGCGAATTGAATGATATTTACGATTACAGAAATTTTGCTTTTGAAATTTTAATTTTTACGTGTATACCAGTGTGCAATCGACATTTATTCACTCCCGTAGCCAATCTGCTTCTTCACAATTGGGCTTGTTCTTGGAAGTATCTCCAGAATGTTAAATCAGCCATTTTTTGACTTGACATCATCCCTGTTTATTGTCTTTTATATCACTAATGCTGTTAAAAATAAGAAAGTATAGGAACCCCCAATTGTTTCTTTTAGTGTAAAAAGGTTAAAATTATTCTCGCTGTTGTTTGGTGATCTATGAAGCGTGGGTAGTGGATTATGTTATTTTACGTCATTCTCTTCATTTAAGTTTAATGATCGATTGCATAGACAGGCAGAAAATTGTCAATAATTTATCATTTTATAGTTTAGAGAGTAAATATGGGCAAATTGAAACTCTTAAATTCCAATATTAATTCTAAATGATAAGCTTAAATTAATTGGCGCCCTATGGCTAATAATAATCTTGATGATTAAACCTATCGACTGAATGGTGAAATTCTATCCTTTCTATATCTCCTGAATTTACTATTTTTATTTTTTATCATTCGATAAAACATCAGCTAAAGTTCATCTTTTCCCATGGTTGCTAATGATCGCTAGTCAAGCATAATAAGTGGGTAGAGCGATTCTATTATTTCCTATTCACATTATTCTTACTTTGCATCATTCGACATTAACTATAATGAATCATTTCATGGTTGCTATTTTTGCCATAAGAAACTTTTATCGACCACGTTAATGATATTAACTATGCCATAAATTAATCATTAGATTTACGTTGGTAATTTTATTCCCATCTACTATTTATAGGTGCAGCCAAAATTAGTATTTATCCACTTTTACCAAGTACTCTCCAAAGATGGACGCATCTAATCCCGAACGATCGCAAGAGAAACCAGAACGATCACCAAATCGTAGCGAATCTGTCTCAAATTTTGATCGTGGACAAATAAAAGCAAGGCAGAAAAAAACTTCCATACAATCATCATCTGAAAAAAGTGTCACTTTTGGCACGAAATTAATACAGCAATCATCAGATTGTAAAGGCCAGTCTATTGGACTACCCAATATTAGTGAGAGATCATCTAGTAATCGAAAAGCTGGCGAGAAATCATGGAATCGACAACGTTCCTATACTGAAAGTAGTATCGATTTAATGGCAGTACGTAAAAGGGTGAAAGCACGATATCAAAAACGAGAATCACTTAAAAATAATACGACGGAAGAACAAGACGATGAATGTAGTGATAGTGAAAATCTTACCGGTTTGAGGGAGAAAAGACAAGTTCTAATTCATGGTTTGAGCTATTACAAGTACCGAATGGTTGTCGATTGGCTACGACATAGTCGACTACCTTCAAGAATAGTATTGCCAGTTATTTAAATTTTCTCTTTCAATTATCAATACTAACTACTGTACAGAAATAATTATATCATGGTGAAATTTTCGACTAAGAAAGACATTAGACAAATCATAAGTACTGGATAGTTTTGCGATCACATGGAGATGGGATGAAACATGATGAAATTACCTTGGAATCGATAGATTGAATATCATGTTAGAAGCATGAATGGGATTTTGAAATACATCAGTTGGACAATCGGAGATTACCTGATTAGATACATTTTAAAACGCAAATCAGACAAATTGGGAAAGTCATCGCTATTCCTTAACTGCTATATGACTATCCAATCATAGTTGAATATATTTTGTTAATCTGAGGAATAAGGTTGATGTACGAGGTAGAGCAGACAAAAATATTTTGTCTGATATATAAAAATTTATCTGATAGTGAGATTAATTCTACTACGGATCGCTTGCTGGTCATTATTCAGTATCCAACAGAAACTATTCCGAGAGAAAACTCTTCGTAGTCTCTAAAATATGTTATTATGGACTACTTATATTTTAATACTCTTCAGCTCTTCTGCCTTTTATCGGTGTTATATCACCAAATGTAAATGCATCTTTACTGTTTGCCTATCTAATGAGATAGTTGGCTATCTATCAAAATTGGCATGATTAACGCGATGAGAGCTATACATTATATTCAGTCATGGTCAATTTGTCCATATTATTTCAATTAAATAATGGATGCATATATTTCTATGACAAAATGTATTCATGTTTCATCTATTTACTTTAATGCAGATGTCCTCTGGAACTAATTAATATTTCGTATATTTGCTGGATAGAAGTAATTACAAGTAAAATTGCACAATGCATGATTAAATATATGCAGTACAATTTATCTTTGCAAACCATATGCTAATTAAAAAAAGATAGATTTTTTCCTTTTTTCGATGAAACTTATAGCAAGCGGCTTATTCAATTCATAGAATTTAATAGGCTACAACAAAACGTTGAACATTTTACATTCAATGATGAATATCTATTCGTTAATAATCATTTAATTTCATTTTATTGTGTTTCTATACCTCTTATAATGTATAATGGACAACTGATAGCTAAATACAATTTAATAAATATCTTGATATCACTTAATTGATTATTTCTGTTTTAAGCTCATAGATAACATTTTTTCACACTAACTTGCACGTTGATGTGTAAATTCGATTATGATCCTTATTTATAATCTGTTTATGACTCACTAGATGTAACTATTTAAATAATTAATGTCTTTATGAATCAGTAGTAATCAAGTCATGACAATGTGATCTCAATAATATTGATGATGATTATGCTAAACTATACAATTTTCTACAATATTCTTAATATTGTTATATCGGATGAGGAAAATCGAATCTACAATAGCAGCCATTCTATTTTAAATTAATTGCTCTACAACGATCATTTATTAAATTATAATATTAGACTGATCTTCCGACTGTAAGTTTGTAATCATTGCAAATTTGCTCTTTCATAGTAGGTCACGTATTTGGCTAATAAAAATGGAATTAATAAAAGCAACTAACGATTTATTATCGAAATATCTTGATGTTTAATATTTTTTATTTCAAAATAACTAAGAGAAACAGAAAGTATTTTAAAATTAGTACAAGACTTCCAGATTTTGTTTATCTTCACTTCATTACATAAGTTAGCTCTTCTCCAGTCACTAGACGCTTACCAGAATTTCGCAATCTTATCGATAAGTTTATTCTAAGTCAAAGCACAATTTTATTGAAGGAAACACACTAATTTTCAACGTATACATCAATTTCTTATCATCACTTAGATAGCTCTATCAAATTTTGCAATTATCTATATACAAATCTAAAATACATCATAGATAAGATCATTAATTAACCTTAATTAATAATAATTCCCAGATAAGATGTCTATGAATAATCACATGTAAAGCAGCCTCAAATTAGTTCAAGATTAAAATTGTAAATCATTCTGTAAGTAATTGTATATCAATGATCAATTTTATTGTGATAATTTACGTAGTCTGATTACGTCTAGATAGTCTTTAGAAGTTATAAGACGAGCCAAATTTATGATAAATAAATTGTAGCTTGCAAGAAACTGTAGTTCTTATTTTTTATTATTTGATTACACTTTATAACACCTTGTTAAACTGTTTTGTATAAGTTCTTCCGAAGCAAACCATAATTTATTTTAACATGCATCACAGTAGATAATCCTTACAGTCAAAAAATTAATCTATGATATCATCGAGTATCTTGTTGCTTATAACAATTTCTATGAATAATGACGGGCCATTATGATCATAACGGATATCCTTGGTATTCATTATCACATTCACGCGTATTATGGACTCAAATATGCATCATCTATGCGATTTTTCTATTCTTGTCATGAATATTTAAGTAGACTTCAATATTCAATAGGCCGATATCGATCGTTAATCAATCAACTGGAAGAGTCATAGTTCTCATGCTATTTCTTCATGGAAAAATGAAAAATAGAACATCAGGTCCAGGCGAAATTCGCGTGTATCATACATTCAAATATGCATATGATGATTTCAGCTAATTAAAGCAATTTGTGTTAGGCAATACAGTAATATAATGTAGAGTAGAGCTGTATGTCTTAATAGAGTCAGTGATAGGATTAATAATCCATATACTGCAATGCATATTTTATACAATTTTTTTGTTCTTGTTATAAATATTTAAAATAGACTTCAATAGGTCATTATCGATCTTTAATCTATCAACAAGAATAGCCACCATTCTAGTATTATTTCATTCCAGGAAAAAAATATAAAAAAGGAGCTGCAAGTCCTGCCAAGATTCACATGTATCATGGATTCTAATGTGTATCATCTATGCAATTTTTCTACTGTTATTATAAATGTTCAAATAGACTTTAATAATTTTCTGTTCTTGTCATGAATATTTAAAATAGACTTCAATAGGCCGTTATCGATCGTCAATCTATCAACAGGAATAGTCACCACTGTAGTGTCATTTCCTTAAAAAAGAATATAAAAAAGGAACATCAGGTCCTGCCAAGATCCGCATGTATCATGGATTGAGCTATGCCATTATGCATCGTCTATGCGATTTTTTTTATTCTTGTCGCGACTATTTCAAATAGCTTTCAAATAGGCCATTATCGATCGTTAATCCATCAACAGGAATAGTCGCCATTCTAGTATCATTTCCATCGTGAAAAAAATATAATAAAAGGAATATCAGGTCTTGTCGAGATTGACATGTATCATGGATTCCAATATGCATATCCTCTATCTATTCTTGTCATCAATATTCAAATAGACTTTTAGAATTAAGCCATTATCGATCACCAATCTATCGATTGGAATAGTTCTCGCATCATTCCTGTTGGAAGGAATAAAAAAAAAAAAAGGAACATCAGGTCCTGCCGAGATTCGAACTCGGATCTTGAGATTCAGAGTCTCAGGTGCTAACCATTACACCACAGGACCAAACTCATGTGATGCGAGTATTATTACGTATTTAGGCTATCATACTACACTTGCCAGTAGCATGGTTGATTCTGGGTACTAGCATTTGTCATACGTTTTGGCACGTGTCGCGTAAACTCAAGTTAAAACCTTTGCTTGCTTGCTCCTGTATGGAACTTGATTGGATATAAATTGTCGACTCAAGCTTTACCGTGTCTTGAGATGGTCAAATGTCTGTCCGTATAGAGTCCGATACTTGTCCTGGCGGAGGTTTCTAGGACACATTTTCGCCCGAGTGATCATTCATTGTCGACCATCTCCAGCAGGAAAATTTGCTCATCAAATTGACATTGCAAATCGAAAATGGGTCGACGAAATAAAACCCAGGAGAATTTAACGTTATTACAACTTCAGAATTATATTAAAAGAGATCCTGGCTCCTATCGTGATGAGGTAAGCGACCACCTAGCAATAGTTGAATGGGATAATCTCTCATCATGTGTTGAAAATCTTCACATTGGATGCCGTCCATGGCGAATTGCCCATGCCTTTAGCAATGCAATGTAACGTTGCAAATCACAGCTTAGATTGTACTAGATTGATCATAAAGATGATTAAAATTCTCAGCAATGATCACCGATTGATGCAAAAGGACTATCGTTGAATCTACTTTCAGTACCAATATCGCTTGCAATAAATTGCAACTAATTATGTTTGGAATTTGGGTGGATATGAAAGCGCCTTGTCAGTTTCAGTAACTCAATTTACTTCAAATACGAATGCAAAATTATCCCTGCGTAGTACAGTAGGCTATTTCTCTTAATGGTATTTTATGAAATGGAGAGAAGCTCTTATCATTTTTATCCACCTATACACCTTACGCATAGCTTGTAGTAATATTCGCTTCGAGATAATGCCCGAACTCGGATTACAGTTATGGATGGCCCATAATTCGTTACAAGTTGCACTAAATCAAATGCAGCTGCCCTAGATTAATTTAAATAGAAATTATAATGACTTCAACTGGCCATACAACTACCGTGCACCAATTCAACTATAAATTACAATGTGCTAAGCTAATCAAACAATCATGGAGGTCATTGTAAATCTTGATAACCGCCATTGATTGATGTCAGCTGACAACCATGCAATTTTACATGATGCAAGGCATTTGCTGATCATTTCAGTATCAATTAAGGTTGATTGATCTACAACCGTACAGGTTATTGGGAGATCACAGCAGTGAGCACAAATGAAAGTCACTTTACCTTCACTTACGCTTGCAGTAAATACAAATACTTTTCGTGTTAATGTTTGTACTTGTAATTTTGCATAACATCTATACAACCGGCAGCTCATGAAATGAACAAAGCAGAAACCTCAGGTTGTGACAGAAATTCTTCCCTAGCTAGTTAAATGAATCTACGACTCTTCTATTGCATGTTTTATGCAGCCTATGCAGTATATTAATTTGTAAACACTTTACTATCTTATGTATTTTCTGTCAATTTTATAGCTAAAATTGAATCTGCTTCTTTCGTAGGTGTTCTAGCTGCAATAACCTATGAATAATTGTTAGCTTTACAAAATCGAATATTACCAACGCGAAAGAGTATCGCAGTCACTTTATGAGTTGATGACTGCTAGTTAGACAACTATTGCGTTTCGTTCAAACTCAGAACTGCACATTATTACTATAGATTAAAATTTCCTCTGTGTAGCCTTGAACTGGGAAGTTAGTTATTTTATTCAATCTAGTGGCAATAGCATGTGGTCAAGTTGTATAGTTATGATTGTAACCTTGTAAATATTCTATACCGTCCATTTCAATTCTACAAGCACATCTTAAATCATTAAATTTTTCTCATTTTTGCCACGATATGACGATTCAAGTTTACACAGCAATATCGCTACTATCAATCCAATCTGAAGATATTTCAATTGCAGCCATCCCAACCATCGAAAACTATGATAGAATTAATCATGTTCATCAGCCAGGTACGTTCTGCAATATATTGCGTAGAGGATCAACTTTCTTACAGCGTAATGATTATTTTTTGTCGATCTTTTCCATTGCAATATAAATCAGTAAAGATTTCGAAAGGTGTTGTATAGCATTAATATTTTAGTGCAAACGTATTAGAATAGAATTTAGAAACCTTTAACCAATCATTTTCAGGTCGCTCATTGCTATCCAGAAGACTTAGATACATTTCCGCAAGAGTTAATCGATCTAATTCGGCAATATCAAGACGTATTGGATACTGACTTGAGATTGGTTAGTGATGCTATCAAAATGGAGTAAAATAAAGCTTTCAGCATCCATAATATTAATTATGCTTTTATGTTGCAGGCCATATGCAGGGCATTAATTTTAATCCGAAACAAGAATCTACTATCTCCTACTAGGTATAATCGACAATTCAATATTCGTAATGGAATGGTTCTGATTTCTTAATAGCTCCATATCATCAATCTACGAGATCTTAAAATCTATTTTAATTACAATTAATAGTCATTCAATTAAATTGCTTGTTTACTATTCTAGTTTATTAGAGTTATTCTTTGAATTATTTCGCTGTAAAGATAAGCTACTTAGGAAGGTAAGACAAATTTCTTAGCAATATATATATCTTTGATTTCTCTAGCGTAATAACTGATACTTTAAAACTTGGTCTAAATCCAGTGAAGCTTGACTGTTGCTCATAAACTTTTAATTCACCTTTTTATCAAGACACTATACAATCACATTGTAGCTGATATAAGTAATATCAATTTGAAGCACAAAAATAATAAAGTTAATAAGGTTTGTAGACATACCTGTTATCTATTCAGTAATTTCAAATCTGCAAATTTTGCGAAATGTGGATATGATTCATATTAGTGCAATGCCTGATTGTATATATTTTGTTTGCAGGCTTTGCAAGGATTTATGTATAAAGTACTTTGCGATGGTGATGCTTTAGCAACCCGATATTCTGTGGTATGAAGTGATTGATATTATTTTTTCTTGCCTATGTGCAGTATAAAGTAGTGTAGCAAATAGGAGAAAAGTGTAGTTTATAAAATAAAAGCGCAACAGTTGGTATATTTTCCGTATACCGTTATGTAGAGTTGAAACGATTATTGAATGTCATTGATTGATTTTACACACACACTTATTTTACAGGAAGTTATGATAGAATTGTATAAGAAAAGTATATGGTAAGCCTCTCGTCGTGATTGAGTCCTAATTATTTCTTTGTATACAGCTTTGTCAAGTCTTTAGAAGTACATCTACAATATTTCTAGTAATTTGTTTTAGTAACTGTTATATTACAACCTATAAATCTTTTTCAAATTTTAGGAATGACAGTAAGACCGTTAATGCTATCGTTTTGGCATGTTTTTCTAACGTCGCGAAGGTCGGCACAGAATTTTAACAATAACCGACAATGCTAATTTTATTGTTTAGTAATTGATCTTTTAAGTTAATCATACTAATAATTTGAATAATAAAAAAATAGAGTCTTCGTTAACTATTTCTTTTATTCAAAATACTTACATGTAGGCTCGAGTTATCGCAGTAAAATTTTTTCTCGGTACGGATGATATTGAAGACGGATCTGACAGTGACGATAGTGATGACGCAGTAAGCATTTGTAATTTGTATTTGCGAATTTCTTATGACCATTACTTAGGAGAACGTCAAAATTCTTTACGTTACTGTTGTACAGAAAGACCCAACGAAGATGAAAGGATTGCTTGTATCTCATAATGTATCGAAAAAAACTAAAAAGAAAAAGAAAACTTTAGAAAAGGCTCTAGCTGCCTTAAAGGTATGGACGTTATAACGTAACTTGACGCTCTTAGATCACTGTATTTACCATTTTAGTCGTCTTTTTCATTAAATACTGGTGATATCAATGATTAGAAACACAAAAAGAAGCGTTCTGCTAAAAGTTCGAGTTTTTCTGCGTTGTATCTCATTAACGACCCTCAAGGTAAGTAGTATTCAAACGACTACCATCTATTTCAAAGTTTTGAATAATCAAAAGCAGATGTTTTAAGAAGTGCTTTTACTAAAGGTATCTTCGATTTATGTAGCCTTTGCTGAAAAATTATACAAAGAACTTGAAAAAGCTGGTGACAAATTTGAAATTCGAATCATGATAGCAGATTTAATTAGTCGACTAGTTGGTTTACATCAGGTATGGTTACACTTTTAATTACGTGTATATATAAATCAGGAAATGAGATAACTTCGGGATCTAAATTATAAATATTACTGTAGCTGTTTCTATTCAACTTTTATCCATACCTCCAAAGATATTTACAACCGCATCAACAAGGTCTGCTATACTTTTATTTTTTTTTCTTTTAATAAATTCTCGAATGATTACTGTAATAGTTACTGTTGAAATTTTTCTCATTAATAGAAGTTACAAAGTTTTTAACTTTTGTCGCTCGGTCAAGTCATGACCTTATCCCTCCTGAGGTAAATTTAATTTATTGTTGATTTGTGAATATAAGGAAGGTGCTGTAGCAATATTAATTCACTGTTTGTGTTAGACTCTAGAGCCGGTCTTGAGAACGATTGTAAATAATTTTGTTACTGAGAGAAACTCTAGTGAAGTTATGGCTGTTGGGTTTGTTTAAGCAGTGTAGTTTGCCTTAAGAAATTAATTTCTATAACAATTGACTTCGTATTGGATTAATAATTATGCTGTGATTTTTAGCCTTAACGCGGTTAGAGAAATGTGTGCTAAATGTCCGAACGTAATGACAGAGGAGCTGCTACAGGATCTCACGCAATACAAATCCTCTAAGAACAAAAGTTTGTTGCGAATTTTCTTACTTTAAGTAACTTCTTGCGATATAACTTTTGTTTTCATTTATAGGTGTTTTGATGGCGGCTAGGTCGCTCATTCAGTTATATCGCTATATAAACCCAAGTCTTTTGCGTAAAAAGGACAGAGTAAGTTTACGATTTTCATCTGACGATTTTAACCTTCTTGAAGAGTAATTGCAGTCTATGTTACTAATTACTACGACAGGGTAAGCCGATGGAATTATCGAAAGAAGTTGGACCGTTAGCTTTCAGTGAAGTCAAAGCTGCTGGTCATGTACCAGGAACTGAGGTAATGTAATTATACTATACTTTATAGTATATTTTTAAAATTGTTGCTGGTGATAAATTAAAATCTTTCAATTGATTATAGTTTATCATATCATTCTATTCGTTTATATCTTTTCATCAGTTCCTTGAAGTTTCAGAAAATGTGGATGGAGAAGAGGAAATAGATTCTGCAATTGCATATGGTATGCTAGGTTTAGTGTTAAAGAAGCAACTACATCGTCTATAAATAAATCTTTCTGTTACCTAATGTTAAATTGACTTATGAGTAGATTCCGATGAAGGTACATCAGATGATGATGCAATATCATTGAACTCAGAAGGTGAAGACGATGATGCATCAAGTAGTGAGGAAATACCTGCAGAACGTAAAACAGATAAAAGGGCAGAGAAAGCAAGACGGACAATGTCGACAGATAGCGACCGTAGTAATTCTCAGGTAAAATATTTAACTTTCATGCACTGCAGGCCTGTATATCTTGGACACTAATTTAAAATTACTGTTCTTTAAACGTTACTATCAATAATGATAGTCCTTTTGCTAATTGATATTGACTCCTTCTCAGAGTGTCAAAGCAAGGGTAGCATTATCGCAATCGAAAACACATCAAGCCGAGGATATAAGTTCTAGTCGGGTACGTGATTAGTATTTTTGAATAGGAAGAATACCTGTTAATCATGAAATGATGCAAAAATTGCACTTTCAATTTTCAATAGTTCTTAACACCAGAAGAATTTGATAAAATTAGAACAGAGAAAGTACTACGAGAATTAGATATGAGAACTGGTGGTAAAATGAAAAGGAAGCATCTTGAAACTATGGTCGATAATGAAATGGAAAAGGAATTGAGGTTAATTGCTTTTGCGATTATATCTAAAATACTCAACTTTCTGGAAAGAAATAATGAGTGGTTGAATTTATTTACAACAGTAAGCCGATCATTTCTCAAGATGACATTGAAATTATTCATAAGAAAGCAAGACATGACAGAGAATCACGTCTTGCGACAGTTAAAGAAGGTCGAGAAGGACGCGGCAAATTTACAAATGAGAAATATCGTATGAACGAATTTGCTAGCACATCCCATAAGGTAGCTTGACTTCGAGTGATTATGCTAACAAATAGTTGCTCTCTAATCCTATTCATTTTATTGGAATAAAAGGAAAAACGTAAAGGTAAATCGTTTATGATGGTTCGACAAGCAAAAGGAGTACAGAGAAAGATTAAACGATCTTTTCGTCAAAAGCAGGTAGGAATGATCTTGCTATCTGATTTAGAATAATTGAATATTGGTCTTAGTATGGATTGAGATATGATTTCGTCGACATTGATAGCATTTATCTTGAATGCTTCTTTTCTATCCTTTTTATTTCTATAAACAGTTGGCACTAAGAGATTCAATGCTAAAACGGCGAAAATCGAAGCGATAACCAATTTATAGCAATAAATTGGTCCCATATTATCATCATCATCATTCCGTTTTGTATTTAATTATGACAGTTTTTATTTTACATCGACAACTTAATGCGATGACAAATAATAATGAAACAATAAAATTATAATGATTGGGATAAACATGGAAACTTGTTTGTCAAACTCTACTAGATGTCTACGTCATAATATGATAGTATGAGTCTGTATAGAAAATAAAGAGACGAATATTCAAATTGATTGGATTAAAAATGGGAAACGTTTATCAACACCATTTCCTAAGGATACGTATGATATGGGGCTATTTAACCCATTAAAGGAGATGCGGTTCAATGGTGACGTTTATTTTGCATATTACCGTATCCATATGGAGCTTTTCTTCTATAGAGGATCTCCATCGAGTGAATGTTTACTATACTGCAGTGTCAACATGACAAATTTCGCACACAATTTATTACAGTACTTAGTATTATATTGTTTGTACTGTGCACTGTAACGATGTCCGAAGGATTGTACTGTACAATGTACAGTACAGTACAGTACTGTACTTTGCACTGTGTCGCACTGTACTGTACTGTACATTGTACAGTACAATTCCGATGCAGTCAACTCTGGTGCAACTCCAACCCTAGTGTACTGTACTGTAGGTTGAATTCATAGTACTGTACACTAGTGTACAGTACATTCACTTGTCACCGACTGCGCAGTGGTCAGCTCAGCTCGACTGTCTACGTACTGTACAAGTGTACATGATTCAATTCTGATGCAGTCAACTCTCATGCAACTCAAACCCTAGTGTACTGTAGGTTGAATTTATAGTACTGTACAGTACGACAACAAACATTCACCTGTCACCGACTGCGCACTTGCGCAGTGGTCAGCTCAGTTCGACTGTCTAGGTACTGTACTGAACATTGTTTCAATTCTGATGCAGTCAACTCTTGTGCAACTCAAACGCTAGTGTAGGTTGAATTCATAGTACATTCACCTGTCACTGACTGCGCAGTGGTCAGCTCAGCTCGACTGTCTACAGTACGTACTGTACATTGTTCAATTCTGATGCAGTCAACTCTGGTGCAACTCAAACGCTAGTGTAGGTTGAATTCATAGTACATTCATTCACCAGTCACTGACTGCGTAGTGGTCAGCTCAGCTCGACTGTCTACAGTACGTACTGTACATTGTTCAATTCTGATGCAGTCAACTCTGGTGCAACTCAAACGCTAGTGTAGGTTGAATTCATAGTACATTCACCTGTCACCGACTGCGCACTGTGCGCAGTGATCAGCTCAGCTCGACTGTCTACGTACTGTACATTGTTCAGTTCTGATGCAGTCAACTCTGGTGTAACTCAAACGCTAGTGTAGGTTGAATTCATAGTACATTCACCTGTCACCGACTGCGCAGTGGTCAACTCAGCTCGACTGTCACCCGTTGGCATGGTCATACAGTAGGAGACTGATAACTATTCGTGGAACGCCTCAACGTGTTCATTGAAATTTTCCACTGTCGCCATTGAGCCAGTGAGTTATTGCAACTTTTGCCTTCCTTTCCTTCTTGATTAATTGGTTCTAGCTTGGACGACCATCTATGGATACTGAAAAAAAGCTAAAGAAGAAAGCGCAGAAAGCTCTGAAAAAGAAGCAAATGACTTCCGACGATTCTGCCGGTAAATCTTTCTATTCACGTGCTTGCAGGTGTACGGTGGTGTAGTCTTTGCACAAGTTGCAAAGGGACTGCTGCGGTAGATCTTCTCTCATTGAATATTTCAATATAGTTAGTTACCCTTGAAAATATTGACCTACTCATTGCCAAAAGCAGTTATCGTTGCACTGTAATATTGTACAGTTGTTTTTGAATGGCTTGTTATTACTTTTCAATGAATACATGCAGTATTACACCACCATTGATATTGAAGCCATGATAGAGTTGAATGCAAGCTGAAATTCAAGGAATGCTTTTAGTGGCCAAATCATGTTGATAGAGGTGTTCAGAAATCATGTCAGCATCTAGTACTAGCTGTCTACAGTAATAGCCTTACCACTGTAGTCTTATAAAGGTGCTTGAAAATATCATAACGTATAGTTTACTATGAATAAGTGATGCAGTAGTGGACGGCTATGGACATGATAGCCTGGATAGCAGAATAGATGAAGTCTGGAGGTCAATAATTTCACTGTATTTCATGTCATTGTGACATGGGTGTTAAAGAAGCCATGGCTACATACGGCAATAGTGTTGTAACAGCAGTATTATCAAGATATTTTAAAGTAATATGGTATAGGATTGACTACCAATAAAGGTGTCTACTGTAGAATGTAGTATCGGACGATCATTGACATTGCAGTCTTGATACAGTCATGATAGTAGAGTTGAATGGAAGCTGGAAATGCACATAATTGGATGGCTCGGGTTTTGAATTGTACACTATTGAAGGAATCGGTACAGGTCTAGGCGACTATTTTATCGTATTATAGCTGTAGTACAGTAAGATGAAGGTATTTTTAAGATAATGTATAATTACTAGATTAGCATTGGCTACAACATCGATGCAATGGTTTACTAGTGGATTTACCACAGCTGAGTACTATGTAACTGGTTAATACAGCCTGTAGTTGAACAACTTAATCCTTCATGTCTTTTAGGTAGTGGTGTAAATAAACCTTAGCTACAAATGAACAGTATTGATTTTATTTAGTGAGACACCGGTATCATGGGAATCAGCGACTGTTGACAATAAACTATTGAGAGTTCGGAGATTATTCCTTCATGATGTTAGAGCTAAGATGAAAGTGTGAACCTAAGAACGAACTATTTTTGCAATAATCTCGACCTTTCTGTCTGTACAACATCAACGAAAACCTTGCCTAATCTTAGTTGGTACTATGGTACAGTGTATTGTAACAGCCGTTTATGATATAGGAATATACACGTATTTCTTCTCATACAGTCAGTCATCACTTTAGGAATCGCTCACTCAGATGATTGGATTAGTTATGGACTACTAGAAAATATGTATACAATAAAATCATATTGGCATCTCTTGATTAATTTAATTTTTGATGCCGCCTAACATATGCAGATACGTTATATAGGCAGACAGTTTGATGTGGATATCTTGATGTCATCCTCATTGGAAACATAGAGAATAGATTTTATAGTTGTTCCTTACACTTACGATAACTCCAAGTCAACTTTTATCGTCTGTATGACCACGATCTATATCGTAGAATAATTGTAATTATTACAGAGATATAAAAATAATGAGACTATGTATTATATAAGATATGCTAGATCAAGTCTTTACAATATTTTTATTTGTGAATAATCATTCATTATGGATGTGTTACTGTTAGCTAAATCAAATAACGTGTTGCCGGCTGATACTAACCAAAAGGAAGCCCAAGATAATGGCAAACGCAAACTTACTAATGCAAATGGTAAGTCGTCTGTAAAAACTAAAAATTTTGATTCCTTAAATTGCACGGGTTATTTGCCTTATTTTCTTCATCATACATAATAAAAGCTTCTAAATTGCGTATCTCAATATTTTCTTCAGCGTTGGTTGCAGAGCAACAACAATCATCGAAAAAGAAAAAGAGAAAGAAGATAGCAACTCATATGGATCAAGAAAGTGGTAAGATGTGTCGATGTTATACTCGTTAATATTAACTTACGATCTATGATGTACAATTGTACATTACCTTTCAATCACTTATGGTAAATCTACACCTGTAATACGAGTATTTATGCTCGATGTCCTATTTCAGAATCATACTTCCCTGAAATTAATATACTTTTGTACAGTAAATCATGGTTTTTTCATTTATTAATTAATATTACATTGCAATATGTAACCCGGCTGAGCTATTTGACGCCTAATGCCCAGGCATTTTAACTCGAAATAACTATTGATATTATAGGTGTCCAATCCAAAATACAGAAACTCGATGACAGTAAACCTAACGAAGACGAAAGCGAAGTCGGTAAGTTAATTTATGTACGTAGTAGCTGGATTACCCTGTGCTTTAGATACCTTTTGTAATTGTCCTTTCGTTTTTAAAGCTACTAGCAACATCGAAGAGCTCATTGGGAATACCGATACTTCGTTTAGTACCTTAAAGTCATATATATCGGAAAATACTATAAAAGCCATAAGCGATATGTCATTTACTAATATGACCCAAATTCAGCATAAGACAATTCCGCATCTCTTGATGGGCAGGTAGTAACCTCTCAATAATTTATACAAATGCTGGAAATAATTATATCTGTCGATGTATACTGAATGTTTGTTGCTAGCGCTTCAAAGTAAAAATTATGGCTCTCTTTGTACTGCTCAGCTATCTTTTTGTATCATTTACTAATTATTCATATTTTATTGAAATTAGAGATGTTCTAGGAGCAGCTAGGACAGGTAGTGGCAAGACTCTTGCATTCTTAATACCTGCCGTTGAACTTTTACATAAATTAAATTTTATGCCAAGAACTGGTTAGTGTTGGCTTTAGTGCATTCCTACATGAACAGGCACAGGTTATTGTGTTGTTGCTACCTTCAACTCAGCTAGCAAATATTTTAATTGCACATGATAGGCACAGGAATTATAATTATTTCACCAACAAGGGAATTGTCATTGCAAACATATGGTGTAGCTCGTGATTTACTAAAGTACCATCGGTATACATTTGGATTAATTATGGGTGGTGCCAATAGGAAGACTGAGGCAGAAAAGCTACAAAAAGGTGTTAATCTGTTAATTGCTACTCCTGGAAGATTATTAGATCATCTTCAGGTACGTCATTTCTTAATCATAGCTGTGCAATATTAAGATGCTGTAGCCAGATCCTAATCGTGGTCATTAATTTTAGAATACAAATGGTTTCGTAAGCAAAAATCTTCAGTGTTTGATAATTGATGAGGCCGACAGAATTCTTCAAATCGGTTTTGAAGATGAAATGAAGCAAATCGTTCGATTATTACCTAGTTAGAATATTATATTTTCATCTTTTAATTTATTTTAGTGCGGCTATACTAGTTGAAGATTTGTTGCGGTAAAATACATATTTATTTTCTTGCTACTTTTAAGGTCGAAGGCAAACTGTAATGTTTTCAGCAACACAAACCAGAAATGTTGAAGACTTGGCACGAATATCCCTAAAAAAGTCCCCGTTATATATTGGTGTTGACGATGATCGAGATGTTGCTACTGTAGACGGCTTAGAACAAGTAAGTTCAATTATTGTAATTTGTAATTGTAAGTTTAATGAGATCAAGTGCATTTAATTTACATGATTCAGTAGTACATGCAATTCGTGAAGTAATCTCTTTTTTGTTGTTTTTCTTTATTAGGGTTACGTTGTTTGTCCATCGGACAGGAGATTTTTATTGTTATTTACTTTCCTTAAGAAAAATCGAAACAAGAAGGTTATGGTTTTCTTTTCCTCATGTAATTCCGTTAAATTTCACTCGGAATTATTAAATTACGTTGATTTGGCTGTGACGGACATTCATGTATGTTCTAAATAATACCCCAGAATTCACTTAATTCTTGCGCAATCAAGAGTGCATAATAGAGCACAGCAGTTCAATATATACTACTAAGGCATTACTCTTTAAAATATCCTTCAGGGTAGACAAAAACAACAGAAGAGAACTGCTACATTTTTTGATTTTTGCAATGCAAAAGAAGGAATCCTTTTATGTACTGATGTCGCTGCACGAGGCCTTGATATACCAGAAGTTGATTGGATTGTGCAATATGATCCTCCAGACGATCCTAAAGTGAGCGAAAGTATTTATAATTATAACATTAACACATCAAATGTAATCATCTTACGCTGTTATTAGGAATACATTCACAGAGTTGGTCGAACTGCCAGAGGAGAAAATAGTAGGGGACATGCATTACTTTTCCTTATGCCAGAGGAATTGGCGTTCTTGCGTTATCTAAAGCATGCTAAGGTACTATTGCTAGATCGTGTTGTCATCGTAACTTAGAAGCAAAAACTAAAATATGCGTCGAATTCTACTATGCACCACTCAGGTTCCTCTTAGTGAATATGAATTTGCGTCCACCAAGGTTGTTAACATCCAGTCTCAGGTAAGTAGTAGCTAATTTTTTGTGATAGGTTGAAACACAAATATTGCGAAATGGTTTATTTCAATTTATATCAGATCGTTTATGGTATCTATTATTTTTTCTCATGCACAGCTAGAGAAGTTAATCGAAAAGAATTATTATCTTCACAAATCTGCAAAGGATGCTTATCGATCGTATTTAATGGCATATGCGTCTCATCAACATAAAAATATCTTCAACGTTAACTCTTTGGATTTACAAGCTATTGCGAGAGCGTTTGGCTTTGCGTGTCCACCCAGTGTAAACCTTAGTATCCTTTTATCTGATATACTGCTGTCTACTATGTTTATAGTTTAAAAATGTGTTTGTTTTGTTTTCGTACAATTTTAACTTAACTGGTATTTAAAATAGATATTTCTAGTAGTAAAAAGGACAAGTTTCAACGTCGTGGAGGTAACAGTAGCTTTGGTAGTGGTTTTAAGAGATCTAACAAAGCTGAAAAGAAATCTCAAGTCTTTAATAGGTCTAATTTTGCCGGTGGAAATAGGCAGTTTTCTCGTTAAATGTGTTATTGCGCACTTAATTACGGACGTTATATTCGTATGATGATTGTCATTATGCGTGATACGAAGTTATAAATGCGTACAGTTTTTAAAGCTCTGGGTGCACAAGGGTCAGCTATTGAACTTTAGACTCTGATATGCAGATTGTATAATGCATTTAATACAACATGCACTTGATTGAAACTATAGTAGTCATATCGGTGATCGACACTATTGTGTATATTGTAATATTTACGTTTGCAACTTTTGATAGCTTTTACGTAGCTAGTGTACAAGAACTGCTAAAGTAAATTCCATTGTAAAATTTCACAATGGGGTAATCAGATTACTATATAATAATTTTAATTTTAAACCATTCTACTGATATTTTAACTACCCGTATCAATTTTGAAGTACGAAGAGCGTAACAATTATCTATACTGTATGTTACTTGCTGCGTCTACTGTTCGTCATTGGGCAGTAATTTTTTACTGTAATTAAAGGAAATAATTGTTAGTACTACTTTACTGCTTTATTGTTTCAGCTTAGAGGAACAAATCCTGAAATACTGCATCAATTATTTCAATAAATATAAGAGGAGAAGTTTTAAAAAGCATAGTTTCAGCTTGATATAAAAATACATTTATTGCTAGTTATCTTTATATGAGGTTTAGAACTACAATTGAGATCGGTTACGATCAATCATAATTATAAACTATTGACGTTTAAAAAAATATATCGCAAGGCTATTAACTTTGGTCTTGGCATTGTTGATGTTATTAAATTATTCGTCCTTGTTTTGTTCTGAGAAGTAGTCCAATTTCTTTTCTGGATCAGGTACAATCTACAAGCAATGGAGAAATGACCGTAATGATGAGTTGAAATCAGGATTATGGAAAAATCGAAATGTTACTGCTATTTCTTTATAGTCCAGAATATAAATTTATTATTACCGTAGCACCACCGGGCTTCCAATTAGCAGGACATACTAATAGAAAGTAGAGAAAAAGATGATTATTATCAGATAAAATGACGGTTGTTCAAAATCATAACCGCAAGTGCATTGTACGTGGATACCTTCCCCATGTTTATCTGTATATTGAAAAGCTTGCACCAGTCTTAGCGTTTCATCAACTGAGCGGCCGACCTACATGTCCAGTTAGCAAATACGAATACAGTATATCGTTATAAAGCGGCGCTGTGTCTTCTTGTTTTTCATCTTTTCTACTAATGAGATTATCATTATATTCAACTAGTGGCTTCACTTTTACTAACCGGTAAGTCGTTCATAGTAATTTGACGCAGAATACCTTTATCGTCAATTATGAAAAGACCTCTGCAAGCAAATACGTTTATCATATTTAGTAGGCACGTCAACATTACACTGGACAGACTTTCGCATCAATGACTTTATCAATTAGACTAAAAATGACATGAAAATTATGTTGAAATGAAGTGATTCAATAAACTCTCATGCCCGACACCGGTCGAAACACACAAGGTATCATAAACCCTCATCAAATAGACACAAACTTGTACAGTAGGCAATATTATCTAAGTGACCTTAAGGCATGGCCTTCCTTTTCTAAGTAGACACCGTAATCTCTAGCAATTTGATGTGTAATATCAGATAGCAGAGGTATTTTCATACTGCCAAGTCCACCTTGTTTACGGGTCGTCTTTACCCTGTGTAAAATTATAAATTATAAATTTTTTTATCAATCTGAAGCATGAAAACTGCAGAGCATAGATAAAAACTTTCAATTATTTTTGACAGTAGTCCTATTGAAAAATTGAAAGCTAGCTGTGACTCATTAACAGTGTAGCGTTTTTCAATTAAGTAGAAAATTTCGATTAATACAGACTACAATTGCTCATGATTTATAACTTCAGACTGAATAAGCTTATTTATTAAGTTTAATAAATCATCGTTATTCTTAATTGTAGAATAGGCCTATGTGATCGCTACTTGCTGTATGAGTACGAGTATATCGGTAAAATCAAGATCAATATTTTATCTAGCGACAACTATTACATCTGTTTATCGTTTCAATTTAAGTAAACAGTTGGAAAGAGTTTAGTAATAAGAAAACTTACCAAGCTAAATGAGTAAATTTTGAGTCAGTTGAACAAGCCACGACTTCAGCATTTATAGCATGAAATTCACTGACTCTGTCGCTGAAAGCGATAATTTCAGTTGGGCAAACGAAGGTGCTGTAAAGATATTATAAAAATAGGACATAAGCTCAGATGATTACAATTTCAACTATCGACCCATTCTCTGAGCTTAAAACGACTGCAAACAAATCAAGATAAGTAATAAAGTAGAAGATAACATATTGTAAGTATGCATTACAGAAGCCGCTACTCTATTTATCTCTTCAGGGTCTCTAGTAGAAATCATGCAGTTTGAACTATTTTATATCATCGTCATTAGTATCAAAAAGATATTCTTAATGGCCGTTAGCATATTGTATTTCAAAAGATTTTTAATAGGCTGTCTCGGGTACACTTGTATAAGAGAGAATAATGCAACTCTAGTCACGCTACTCCAGTACGGGATATCCACATCTTGCTCGCCTATGCATGCAAATGAGCATACGAATGGATGAATATTTTCGTGCATGCAATGTCATTACTGCCCTTATCTATAGTCATCGATTTAGGTGAAATAGCGTTTTATCTTTGGTATTATCCGACTTTGTTGATTACGTTGTGCAGCTTTAGCAAGGTCGCCAGTGTAGTATTAACTTGGTTTACATTTTAATGACAACGCTAGTATAAGTTACACGCATTTACGTACGTATACGAATATACATGCACTGTGTCAATATGTAGACAATAAGAGTATAGCGATATAACAAATTCGAGCAGGAAATATCACAATTGATAGTTTGTTAGTTTATAGCATTTTGATCTTATTTACTGATTGATGAAGTTCGACTTACAAATCCATCGGATAAAAGAAGAAGACCAAATATTTCCCTTTGTAATCTGATAATTTGATATCTTTAAAAGCTCCATTAATGACAGCAGTACCTTCAAAATGTGGAGCAGGCTTGGAAACTGTTGGATAAAAATATCATCAATCAAGGGCATTAGTGTTCGCTATGCCAACGCATTGTCTACTTTACTCAATGATTCATTTTTATCCTACAAAGAATTGGTGCAATTGACTGTTATGATGCAAGATGAATTCGCAAGCTATTGAAACAAAAGTCATTTTATAACTATAAGAGAGCGCAGCTGAAACATATGCGTATAGTTATGATTGAAAAGTATCCATTTTGCAGTATGACCAGTAAATAGAAAGGGTAGCTAGAACACTCTATTTCTTTTTTTTGGAACGTTACATCGGCTTTCACGGTATCTAAAGCAGTCTATAGCAACTAATCCAGGATTCATCCAAGAGCATGATTTCAATCCTTCTGCTCGTAAATTGCTTATTGGATGAAGTAACGCCGTCATTGATCACGTCCACGAGTATGGAGCTCCATTTTTACAGTAGCTACCTAGAAGACTGTACTCGTTCACACCTATTGTATCCTTGTTTCAAAATCCATCAAGACAGTCCAGTAGAATCCTGCCTAGGTACACATACAGTGATTATCATTGTTCTATCTTCTATTCTATTCCTATTCTATCCCATTCCAGAAAAGAAATAGAGAGAAGTATTGCCTGGATACCCATGTACAGCTGTGGTCATTCTATCATTTATTTATAATTTTCTATTTATTGACATTACAATCGTGCTGTCCTCTATTTTGATTATAACATAAGTGTCCATTCCAATTTCGGACCGCAATAAAATAGACGATGGTGTCCTATTATTCTATATGAAATGATTCTTTTTGACAGTCAAGCCTACAGAATAATTATTCCTTTTTTATATGAATAGGCTACACGTTGTATCCTATATGGCCATGAAGCTATTTTCACCAAACTAGTGAAGGAAATATCGTCCACGCCTCCATTGGCATGCAATTACGGATAATCGTGACAAATGGCAACAACTTACTTTTAACTTTGCTGTAATGCAAGTTATGCGATGCAGATCTTAATTGCTCTCCAGGATAGACATTACCACCAGCATAGGTATAACACTGATCATTAGCATGGACTGCTGATTCTATCCATAAGTAAGTAAGAAAGAAGGCCAACAAGAGGGATTTCATGCTTCTTTTTCGATTGCAATGATGGCGTCAAGACAGTCGAGACTTGATTGAGTGGCTGGAGACGCCGAGCAGGAGCAATGATGACGTCGATGGCTACAGTAGATACTGTAACTGTTGTACCGTACACTCTGCAACACAGTACTTTATACTGTAGTATGTACAGTACTGTGCACTGTAAAGTACAGTGTACAGTACAAGGACGACCAATGGAGAATACTGTAGCATGGACGATTGGAAAAAGGAATCATTTTCTTGCACGCTTGTTTACAATTATTCCCTTTAATGAATAATTAGTGTGTGATCACTCGATAGACTGGACTTAATATACTGTTTAGCTATGGCTATAACTTGACATCGCTACATGCATCTTATGAAAATCGATGCGATTTTACGATGCTACCTGCAGATCTGGCTACAGTAATTTACCTGTCAAGCCGTTTCTGCAGCATCAGCGATGGCTGCAGTGTCGGGGAGTGTCACAATCGACTCTATTCCATAGTTGTGGAGATCGCCAACAACAGCCCTTGATGTGGTTGAAGAATCACTCAACAACTACTGTACTATCTGTCAAGAACCAATCCACAATGCGGTATGCAGTGCTGTATATCACAGTACAGCAAATGATTTGAACCATCATCGATACTGGGGCGATTGGACAGTAAGTATCCTACATTGATACTAGTCTACAACATTTCGAGCTATGGTGTTGCCTAAGCATGATTGAGCAGAAGTGAAATATAATAATAGAAATGGCAATTTATTCAAGTGGCGCCTCCAAATGGAAAATTGAAAAGTTGAACGTGGCAGTTAACACCTTTCAGGTGCTCGACTACACAATATTCTGTAGCTCATTTCGTCCATGCTACCAGAACAGATTGACTGCAGTGTGGTAGCAGCCTAGCGACCTGACGACCATCCAGTAGCATCCATACAGAATTCCGTCCGGACGGACGACATTCCTCACCGAGTGAATAGAGAGTATCGAGGGACGTTAGCTACCGGTATTTTATAGCTCATACAGCACCAGCGCGTTCAATGGTACATGATAGAAATCACTACCCTACAATCGCTAGTATGGGTAGTGGTATAGACGAGGATGCTCTGATGTTCCACAGTATATCATACCCCCCCGCTCGATCTCCTTCGATTTAAAACAGGGCCGCGCTTCCAACCTGTTCCCGACCACCCCCCTAAAAGTAGCCAAAATTATCGACCAACAAGTCGAAGATTTCAATCTGTCTTCTATTCTGCCTGCTATCATCGACATGAAGTATATTTTAGTCTCTGGTGGAGTTATTAGTGGTGTAGGGAAAGGGATTATTACCAGCAGTATTGGTTTATTGCTGAAATATTGTGGACTAGAAGTCACTGCGATCAAGATTGATCCATATCTGAATATCGATGCTGGCACCTTTTCCCCTTATGAGCACGGTAATGACAACTGATGGACTTCAATTGAGCTTAGATGGAGAGACTTAAATTACAGTAGGATTGAATGACGAAATCGATTAGTGGTAAAGGACTGTTGAGAAAGCATGTACTAGTGTCCATCTAGACTATGTATCGCGATGACAATCACAAGCATCATGCATTGCTATCCTTCGTTCTTTTGCTCATCTAGGTGAAGTTTTTGTCTTAAATGATGGTGGCGAAGTCGATCTGGATTTAGGCAATTATGAACGTTTTCTCGATGTTCAATTACATCGTGATAATAACATTACAACAGGTAAAATTTATAAGCAAGTCATTGAACGTGAACGGCGTGGCGATTACCTTGGTAAAACTGTCCAAGGTAGGTGATAACCGACGCAACAGCAATGCCAACAACGTGCTATCATGTAAATCATCTCATTACAATAATAATATAATACGATCCTAGTCATCATTGGACTCGTCTTTCTGTAGCATAAAATTCTCTCATTCATTTTCTCCATCAATTGATACATGGAGTGAATGTAGCAATGACCATAACGACAATAAGCGACGACATGAACTCATGTGGAGTAGTATACCATCATGATGTCATCTCTAGTGCACATTCCATTTTTTTTCTTTTCCATAACCCCATCATTCTATCTGCCGGCATAGGTTATTCTTCTATTACGAAAAAGTTTGCCTAAACTACATCACCATTTATTGAGAATAAAAATTACTGGTCAGTAAGGCTATAGCCACGTGGATTGCAAGAGATAAAGAATACTTAACTCTATATAAAGCAGATATTTATTCTTCCAGATTCTTGTTTGTACTCTGTCAACAGTTTCCCGTTAGGATACCACAGCCTTGATAGCCTATTGACATACGCGTATCACATGCTTTTGTAGAATAGTCATTATGGAGTTTCCACCTACTGTGACGTAGGCTGGAGGTACTGTATTATGCCTGTTATTCGACGCTTAGCTAGAGTCCTTATTTCTCTCCTCTGAATTTCTTGTTTAATATCTATGCAAGATGTGCTGTCTATTACCTGGTCGAGTAGAAGAGCTCATCACGATACTTTACATTTGCTTTACTGACAGTATCGGACAAGATCGAAGTTGTGCTTGCCATAAATCACTTGTAACATCGAATTTATGCTTGCAGAAATCAACTAGTACAGCCTAGCATTCATTAATAGCATGCTGCTCACTTACAATTGAATGTTATGCAATTATACGTTTATAAACTTTTATATCAAAATAATGCAATCAACCCATGATATAATTAACTTGGCTACAATATTATCAAATCGGGCAAAATTGTGCCTTGGAAGCTCTTTTCAAGTTCCCATGGTATTCAGATCGAAGCGGCCCCGTATATATGCCTGTAACCGTTTGAACACTACTTTTCCTTTAGTAATACAACAGTTGCATAGGTAACCTTCAAATTATGTCGACCATGTTGATGTGTTGAGCATTTCTCTTTCGTTTTTTCATACGACCTTATTACAGTTGCAATCCTACAGATGTACACTGCAAAGCCTCTGTAAGAGGTATAAGTAATGAATTGCATGCTCATAGATTTAGATATTCAATGTTAAAAAATTGAATTTAGTACTGGCGGTGTGTTAGTCTTCGAAATGGAATCACACGATGCTCCAAAATCCGTAATGAACCGGCTGTTATTCTGTTTCGTGAGAATACTTTTGTACATAAACCTATATTTTATGGTTCATATGCCAACGTAGTTATGGTAGAAATCATACGCTATGCCTTGATAATATCCGAATCGACAATACCTGCTGTGTCGTTCTCACTCGTCTGTACACGTACCTTCTCTTTCCGGATAAAATTGTAAAATTTATCTTGCATGAATACAAATTGGGCACTGTTCATGCTTGCACTTATACAATTTGTTAATCATACTCTGTGCATACTAATTGAAGTGTATTATACGCTATCCTTTTTTCTTACTACAGTTGTGCCTCATATTACTGATGCAATTCAACAATGGATTGAACGAATTGCTCTTAATCCAGTCTCCGAAGCACAGAAAACACCAGATATTTGCATTATTGAGGTAAGTCTTGGTTGGTTGGCTAAATTCTATTTTCATGCGTAGTCTTGTATGTAGTTTTGATGCACTGTCATGTTAAGAAGTGCTACTCGTAGAGATAATATAAGGTAATGGTACGCAAGTAAAAGAGTAGAAATATAAGTATAGTAGCACCTTTTCTAACAAGCAGTGTGATTCCGCCAGAGTTCGCTTGAAAGATGACTGACAATACATTTTGTTTGCCTATTTGAATATATCTAGTTGGGTGGTACCATTGGCGATATCGAAGGAATGCCATTCGTGGAATCTTTTAGGCAGTTTCAATTTAAAGTCGGATTGCAGAATTTTTGTAATATACATGTTACTCTAGTGCCTCAGGTTTGTAAAATGATGCCACAAATCCATCATATAGTTTGTATGTAGCACGATATTGGTATATATGCTTGTGTTTATATTTGCAAGGCTATCAAGCATACGAGTCTTTAACCAGTGCTTACAAATATGTTCATAACAGCCTAATTCAACTGGTGAACAAAAGACAAAACCTACACAAAATAGTATACGGCAACTTCGTGGCCTAGGTTTATCTCCAGACATAGTAAGTAGTGCAATTACAAAAGTTAATCTACTAGTTATGTGTTGCGCTTGAGTCTCATTTTCGTGGTAATTGCAGGTTATGTGTCGAAGCCAACAGCCTCTCGCTGAATCAGTTAAGAATAAAATATCGAATTTCTGTCATGTTCCACCTGAACAGGTTTGCAATAATAAACACTATATGCTTGCAATGTTTCTACATTTATTGTACATTGTTGATAACTTTTTGCAATGTTGTCAGTATACGCCTGCTAGCCGATTATGTAAAGTTGGTAATGTTGGTATACAACTTTGTACCTATTTTAGGTCATATGCGTTCATGATTGTTCATCTATTTATCACGTCCCTGCGCTGATTGCTGATCAGAACCTAGTGGGTTATTTATGTAATCGATTGCAACTACCAATCTCTGTAAATATGGATGACGTATTGCTAGATTGGAGAAACTTAGCTCTAAGGTATGTTTTTATACTCCCGGTTGATTCATCTGTAAATGACAAACAGGCTAGCTATAATTAGTTTGGAAACTATACTTAATGAACGAGTGATGCATCTGTTTTTTTTTCACATGGTAAATAGTTATGACAGATTTGATGATCAAGTCACTATAGCCCTAGTTGGAAAGTATACTATGTTGAAGGATTCATATATTTCAGTATTTAAAGCCTTGAAACATGCTGCTTTTGCTTGCGGCAGGCAAGCCAATATATTTGTAAGTGCAATCAATCTTTGCTTAAATAGATTCAATCATTAATTTATCGTAAGAGCTTTTAATGTCTTTACCGCAGTGTGTTGAAGCTGACCATTTAGAACCCGAAATGAAGATAGAAGATCCTGTGAAATATCACAAAGCGTGGGAACAGCTATGCCAGTGCAGGTACTAAACATTCATTCTCAAGTTAAAGAGTCACATTTTTACCATTTGCTGCTTGCATTTAGTGGAGTATTAGTGCCTGGTGGGTTTGGTAAAAGAGGAATAGAAGGTAAGATCCTAGCAGCAGAATGGGCTAGAGTCAACCGCAAACCTTATCTTGGTAAGGAGAGTTTAATTTAGTATGTTGTTCTAACTAAGTAATGCCCCTATTTCAAAATTCTCTGTTACTGATAAGCGTTGTCGTCTTATCTCAAGGCGTATGTTTGGGATTGCAAGTAGCTGTTATCGAATTTTCAAGAAATGTTATTGGCTGGAAAGGTCACTAGACTATTTTAATAATATGATATGATAAATTGAATTGGAAATAAGATAATCCTTCAGTTTTGGTCTAATTTGCTTGCTCTCTTCTAATCAGATGCACATTCAACCGAATTTGAACCCGCTACTACAAATCCTGTTGTAAGAATTGATTTGCCGTGTCTTTAAAATAGTTTAGGCTTAAGATGTACCGCAGCCTTAAGAGCAACATCCATTCCTGTTTCCTAGATTATTGACATGCCAGAACATAACCCGGGTGACCTAGGAGGAACAATGAGGCTGGGATCGAGAACAACTATCTTCAAGACAGATTGCGAAACTAGCATATTGAGTACGTGTAATATTCGTTACAGTTATTTGATCATCTTAGACCTATTCTTTAAATTTCGGCTTTGTAAACAACTCCCGATTTGAATAGGAAAATTGTATGATGATAAGGAAAAAGTGTCCGAAAGGCATCGTCATAGATACGAGGTAATGCGTGGGCAATATGGCCATCAATAACGGCCTGTTGTTTTATTAACGAAGCACTATTGTAGAGTAGCCAATATCCCGAATACAATTGCATAACGACTTGTGTTATCATCATAATAATTTCGTAGGTCAATCCTACTGTCGTTTCTCAGCTTGAAGAGAAAGGCATGATATTTGTTGGACACGATGAAGAAAAGCAAAGAATGGAAATTATGGAATTACGAGGTCATTAACATTAGGCGTGTTATTCTTTAAGTTCTATTTTATTTGGTAATTTTTCTTACTGCAAGTTTTTTTCTAAATTTTGAGTTTCGATAACATTTCGCTATCATTAGATCACCCTTATTTCGTTGGGGCTCAATTTCATCCAGAATACCTTACTAGACCGTTGAAGCCATCACCACCATATTTTGGACTTGTTTTAGCTGCTTGCGGAAGGTTATCCTTACAAAAACGCTATCACTCTTCCTCTGAACTTTTGGACTATAGTCAAAGGTCGCAAAATGGGACACATTACTTTGGCATCCATTCTATGAACGGCAATCACTTTAATGACTTGAGTTCTGTCAATAGTTAGATTGTATTTTTATTGCTATTGCAACTCGATCGTAGTTCAAACTGTTATAGCTATACGGATTCGTCATACGTGAACATCAAAGTGGGCTATCTTGTAATTAAAGTTACCGTAATATTCGACTTAAGCGTATCTAGTTTTACGGAGCCAATTCTACGTTGTTCATGATGTAATTAATTGTAAATTATAAATATCTTCTTACATAATCCATAATCCTTTTAAACTATAGAATTACTGATTGGATAGAAGTCAAGATATTACTGGCAGTATTGTAATCATAGAATCTTAAAATTACCAAAACCTATATTAGGGACCATTCGAACGAATATTATTATCATGTAATAAGACTTGATCATACTGTGTAAGCCTAAGTGCATTGATTCCTAACCGTGAGCGATAAAAAAAAGCAATTTTACTTCTGGTTAATATCCGATTTTATTAACAATTATAACAATAGTGATGATATATAATTATTACCAATAAAAACATGCATTAAATCAAAACACACCATTGTCATTCGACAAGTGCTAGTTTATAGTTATGTAATGTGTAAGCTAGCCTTAACATGATCAGCTGGACAGACTGTGATAGTGGTGATAAATTAGTCGCTACACTGGTAAAGGATAACTATAAAAATTTAATTCTTCAAGACACTAGAGTCTTGTATAGTGCAGTTTATTTCAGATAAATAGCACCAACTTACTCGAATATTTCTGTTGAACTCGCCATCGGATTGGCTACGAAATTTAATTAAAATGTTGTATCAACTGTAAAATTGGGTAAAGAAAGTGCTACGTCTACCGTTTACATAGTTGTAGTAGTAAACGCGTTTTCACGAGCTAATTAGAGTAGACGACTATTTATTTCGATGCACATTGCGGAACCCATTCCACCGCCCGCGCAGAGAGCTGCAACGCCTTTCGTCTTGCCAAGACGAATTAAACTGTAAATTAGTGTTACTACGATACGACACCCGGAACAACCGATCGGATGACCTAAGGCAATAGCTCCACCACAAACGTTTACCTAAAGGTGTTACAGCGAATGTCAATAATCATGCATTAAGCTTAATGGCTTGATCCTGCCGTAGTTGTCAATTTAGAAAAACTCTTCAGTTTCCAATCGATTTGTATTAGCTCATTATAATTACCTTGTCAAGATCAACTTTTAATTCCTTCAAAACACCGCAGGCTTGCGCAGCGAAAGCTTCGTTTAACTCAAATAAATCAACCTCATCTAAAGTCCACCCAGCTCGTTCAAGCTAGATCAATATTTGCAGTAAAAATAGAAGTAAATTAATGCTTTGGTAGTTAAGGCTATAGTTTTCTTCTAAGAAGTCATTTCCATTAACTTACAGCCTTATTAACTGCAGACACGGGTCCCATACCCATGATGGACGGTTCAAGGCCAGTCTGAGCAGATGATACAATGCGAGCAAGCGGCTCAATGTTTCGATTCTTAGCCTCCTGTATCGTCATTAAAACAACTGCGGCCGCACCATCGTTTATACCGGAAGCATTACCAGCTGTAACTGTTCCCGTGCCGTCAGTAAGAAAGGCAGGTCGTAATTTTCCTAACGACTGTATATTAGTACCATGTCTAGGATGTTCATCTTTGTTCACAATGATTTCGCCTTTTCATTAAGAAAGTTTACAACGACATTGTTCCGTAAGGTGTAGTAAATGGTAAAAGATTTGAATTACCTCTTTTATCTCGCTTATACTATTCACTTCTGTTACACTGGAGTAGCCGTAGCAGCATGGAGGTATATCAATTATACTGCACGATAGTATATGAAATTGTCATTCATTACGATAAAACTAACCTTTCCTATCTGCAATTTTAACCGGCACAATTTCTTTATCGAAAAAATTACTTTTCTGAGCTGCTTCAGCCCTGTTTTGAGAAAGGACTGCGTACTTGTCTTGTTCCTCTCTGCTAATATTCCATTGCTTTGCGATATTTTCTGCAGTCATGCCCATATGGTAACTGTGAAAGCCATCAATAAGGGAGTCCTTCAATATCATATCTTCCATTTTTGCTTCTCCTAACTTTACACCTTTTCGCATATGAATGCAATGCTGCGTCTATTGAAAGGGTAAAGTGCACATGATAATAATTAATTAACTTTATGGCATGTAATTCCTAAGTCACTATGGTAATTTTCTTTTGCAAAGAATTTGAACAAATTTTCGTTGCACTTTAGCACTAAATTGAAATTGAAAGTCTACCACAGTGAACAAGGCGATATATTATGTTATAAATCTTTGAATGTATCCATTTTAACTCTGGAAATAAGAAAAGCCACAACTAACCCGAGTCATACTCTCTTGGCCTCCGGCGACAATTATATTAGAGTCGCCCGCCGAAATACTCTGTGCGCCAAGTGCAATTGCTCTTAAACCAGACGCACACTGCATGTTGATGGTGTAAGCAGTCGAAGTGAATGGAATTTTAGCCGCAGCAGCAGCTCGGCGAGCACCATTTGGTCCAGTACCTATAAGCAAAAAGAAGAGCCGTTTGATCTGATGTAGACTTTGGTAAAAGTTATCTCCGTTTGTAGCATATCATTATTTCATTTTATTGCCTAGAATGAAGGGTTGAGAAAATAGTAATAGCATCTGTCTATCCATCATGCAACGATAAAACAATTCCGTGAGTGAACGTGTTGGCGAAGTATGAAATCTTATTATTACTGGAATAGGTGTACTGCTCGTAAACGAAAAGCCATTTTGATCTCTTTGTACTAGAATAGAGATCAATGTGTGAGTGGCATATTAAGCAGATAGGATGCATTGACTGTAATCATAAACGACTCATATATGTATTTATTGGCAAGATTACTATTGCTATATTGTATTATACATATGTAGTTATATATGTTGCAGCTTTAAACAAAAATACTGATAAAAGCCTGCAAATGTTATGAGCTGTTGTATCCTGATTGGCAGTCATTGTTGAGTAATCTATGACTTGGTTCGATTACGGTATTATAATATCACATATAAAAGCGATCAAACAGATAACAAATCATTGCAATTGATTGTAATTATTATTATTGAATGAAATATTAAAATGAGTTACAGTATCTATTATTATTCCTTTAAATACAAGCTTGATTCTAATTCTACTGGTCAATCCATAATCTTATTAGCCTCATTATTGGACTAGTACCTGTATGAATGAATTATCTTTATTATATCATCTGGCAAGAATGCAGACCTTGTATTATTTTATAACCGGTATAGGAAATATTCCAACTCTACTTGATGATCCATTTACTCAAGGATTTATACAGGAGTTACTACGATCTGCTAACATGCAAAGAAAGCTGAATGATGATGCGATCGAGTCAAGGCACCAATGAATAAATTGAGAGCAATAGTGTACAATTAGTTTCAATCGCACAGTGTTATAAACTAAGTAAGAATTGATAGGAAATACTCTTCGACTGACATCGTGACCATTGCTAGTAAGCAAGAGGGAACGATGTTTTAACCCTCCGTGGTCAAGTGTTCCTCTACTCGAGTGGTCATCGTTGAAACGAGAGTACTGTATATTGAGGTATCACCTCGTCTATCCTGCACAAATTGATTGTTCGTCTTTACAATGAGACAGAATGACTACTAAAATATATCTATCACCATTCCAGTACTGTCGCTTTTAGGCTCCTATCCTCCTTGATTGAGTATCGTATTTCAATCTCTCGAGCAAGCAATAAAATGAATCGATACGAGTAGACATGTTGCATTAGGCACAAATTTCAGCTTACCTCCTTGTAAAACTTGCCCCATAATGACTTCCGATACATCATTGGGGCTAACATTAGCTCTAGCCAAAGCTTCTTGAATGGCTATTCCACCCAGAACATAAGCATCCTGCGATTGAAGAGAGCCATTGAAAGCGCCAATAGCAGTTCTTGCCGCACTGGCAATGACAATATCGTTCTCGGCCATTGTCGCTTCAACCGTCTAACGTATTGACACACAGATAGGGGCAGAGGTCAGTCATCACAACGTCTTGCCGTTATTAGTTCATTGTGGAAAGAGTAGTATTGTAGGCGTAACACTACTCTACCAATAGGGCTACAGTATGACACGATGCTACATGGCCGTCAAGGTATGGAGTATCGCGTCACTGAAGTGGGCTACTGTCTGACGGTATTCGCTTCAGTCAGCCGCTACTCAGACGGAGTTCGGAGAGACATCTCACTCCGATGCAGAAGTACAGTACTGTACTGTACAGTACACTACGGTGGCTTGTGAGCCACCGTAGTACCACAATACGGTACCATCACTTCAGTCAGCCGCTACTCAGACGGAGTTCGGAGAGACATCTCACTCAGATGCAGAAGTACTACAGTATTGTACTGTACACTGTAGACTTACACTGTATAGTACTGTACACTGTACACTGTACAGCCCTCGATGGTTTTCCATAGTGATGTTGATTACGACGAGCTCAGGTGAAATAATTATCAAATTGTAATTTGTCTTTTGTACTGGATACTAATTTATGAATAAGCCATTACAGCACATAAAAGTGGGTCAGTACTTGCTACTGTAATATTAACATTTTTTGTTATAATTTACCGTTGTTATGTTCGTTTGATAAAGTTGAATATGCAATGTAGCCAAATTGGAAGTCAGTCAAACACCTGTTTCCCACTACAGTCCTTGCCGGCACGAGCCCAAGCTGCTGATTGACCCGAGCGCTTCAACGCTCGTCTATAAAACATGACAGGTAGCTACGGCGCAGTGCGCACGTACTATACAGTACACTGTACAGTACACGATGACTCGACTCTGTTATTACTGTAGACTGTTACTATTGTGGCGGGGCTGGCAGTCTGACACCATGGTGTGAAAAAATTGGTTTTTTTCCGCCTTATACCTGAGTGGGAATTTCAGTATACAGTACAGTACTCTACACAGAACACTGAGTATAGACAGTACTGTACTGTAGCGTACTGTACAGTACTGTACTATATGATCTTGCCGGTAAAACAAGCTGAAGTAATTATTATAACTGTACTGTACTGTACTGTACAATGGGGACAGTATACTGTACAGTACAGTACAATACACTGCGGTAAAGTAGTCCAGCATGGAGAAATAGCCTTGTCCGGACCGGACCGGTACAGAGTTACGTCTCCTTACAAATTGGTACAGTACAGTTTGCTTTACTTGTATGTTACTGCATCGGTCCATGTGTAAACTAATCATAGACTCCTGGAAAAATATCTGGACAGCTGGACAGAACACTCTCCGCAAAAAAACGGACATTTCATACTGTACCGAAAAATTACTACTGTACACTAGTGTACAATACAGTACTCAGTATGAATCTTCTATATCTGTTCTCTAAACCATTTGTATCAATATGAATAACATTCATGATTAAAATTTACTGCTTCCAAGCAGAGCTTAGTAACAGCTAATGGAATACAATGTAATATTACTTAATTTAGAAAAAATTAGTCAATTCAAACTCAACTGTCTGCATAGTAAAATACTGCCATACTACTGTACTGTACTGTACTATACTGTACACTCTGCTGTATTGTACTGTACAGTACTGTACAGTAAAAAGTGCTTGACATAATTTATTGACCTACAGTACAGTAAGTAGGCCAGACGTCTGTCCATCCAAAGGAATGTCCAGTCCAGGCATTTTGTCTTTATAGTCCAATCACTAAATGGACACTAACTAATTTAAGGGTCTCTCATGATAAATAATGGACACCATTGGACAGTTGTCAAACCGATAAAACCCCACCAAATTGTTGATTTTCAACCCGAAATGGGTGCAATCGCTATACAAATACTGTATCACCACAGAAATTCTTAATCCCAATCCCATAATCACAAGACAGAAGGAGTATTTAGCTTGAAGGATGAAAATCCTTTCTGGCCAGTCGCTGATATTGTGCTTAAAAGGCCAGTTTTACATCACTATTATGTTGTGAATTTCTATACTACTCTACTCAGTGCCTTTCGCTCAAGTTTATTCCCAAATGAAATGATGCTGTAGACTGTAGTGTGCTCTGTGTTGTACACCATGTCTCACTGGTTCAATTGCAATGCATAAATAAAGTCTTAATTCAATCATCCGTCGTGTACAAAGAACTATATCTAATAGTATTGATTCGACAAGCACGTTAAATAGTATACAAGATAACAGGGAATAGGTAAATCAGTTAATCAACCAAAGGTCAATGGATAGAGCAGGGCTTAATCGAATATATTGTACACTTTCTACTGGATTTCTCAAAACACACTTAATGCCAAAGTAGTGGGGATTCAGACGAAACGAACAACTTCTTTCAGCCAAATAATTGCCATTGAAACTCAACACGTTTATTAATGTAATCTAAACATGAAGGTAATAGCCTTATACGAGATATCTTACAATTAATGTCCTATAGCAAATGGTTTTCAAAGATCATTCAATATAATAATACAAACATTGTTGTCAAAATGTGCAATATCTCCATACAACATGTACATATCAATCGAATGTGTCATGAACCTTGGTTATAGGTATGGCTGATAAAGCCAATAGTATCATCAACAGCTTCCATCAAGTCGAAGATTTTCTCTAGCTACTGCGCAATGATTGACACCATGGAGCCGAATTATAATGACACAAATAACTATAATACATTGCAACCCTGCGTAACGTAAACGTACAGCAGGTTACGTATCAAAATGTCAACAAAATATGCCGAAATCCATCTTGCATTTGCCCATTAGATAGCAGTACCGCGTTCAAGATTTTGCTTAATTTCAGCAGTATATTTGTTGTAGAATCGAGCAATTTTCTTATTGAACACAGCATTTCTTTCATTAATGTAGTCCACATCATTCTCATCAAAATGTTGCCGGCGACGACTAAACTTTGCTCTCTTTTGCATCCTAGATAAAAGAGAGACGTCGATCAGCCAATTAAAACCACTGTTTCCCTGTACAAGCCTTTAATACAACGTAGTTATATTATCCTATCTAAAGTATTTATTATTATTAGGTTTCAATTCTGATAAAAAAGGCAAAACTGTAGTGATCTTTCAACGCTGTACAGTATATACGTATACAACAGGTACTACTCAACTGTTTATCTAAATCTGCTACCATCCTATCTATTGCCGCTTCAGATGTTTTGCCTTGGCCACCATAACTTAAGCTATCAGCATCGGGATACAGTTCTTCATCTCTGTAACATGGTATTTGTAAATTTATTAGGAAAATAATGTAAAACATTGTACTCTCTCTATATCTCCTAATCAATTTATAGTCAATCATCCTACAACATGTAGAAAGAAAGAATGATTGCGCCTATGGCTGCCATCATTTTTAATCCAATATAAAACGCTGAACAGCATCGTATTGTCTGCTGTATCTACATTGTAGTGCAGATAAAAGGAAATGAACTATTTTTACACCAGCAAAGTACTCAAGAGCAAAGTTGCTTATCCAAACTTGATTACGCATTCTAGTAGTTGGTTAATATGGTAATGCTCTTACAATTCCTCCTTCAATCTATTATACTGGCCCATGTCTGGTTTGAATTCCTTGATAAGACGCTGATATTGACGCAACTGGGCAGCATTATAATCTGAAAAGCCTGGGTCAGCATTTTTTTTCTTTCTCTTTCGTTCAATTTTCTCCAGGTCATCGGCACTTTGCTGTAGTCTCTTCTGCTGTTCAAAGTCTTCACCATTTTGCGCCGCTTCCTGCAAGATTGTGAAAATGAACGGGTCATTTTGCCATCTACTATCACACTCTATATTGGACCAACGATTGCAATTCATTTTTACTAGTCTTACTTTGCGAGCTGTTTCCTCTTGTAGTTGCCATTCCACTCTGGCTTTTTTGGCTTCGTAATTGGTCGGTAGCTTACTTCGTTTGTCTTCCTCTACGACTTGGAGATGATTTAGATTACGAGCTTCATTCTGTTCAACGATATCAGACACTTTTTAGAATAAGTCAGAAGAAGACTGACTTGTTTATCCATGCAAGCAACGTACCTATCCTTGCTACTGAGTATGTCAATGAAACCTACCCGCTTATGGTATAACTTTTCCAATCTTTTCAATCTTTCGGTTCGTTTGTTTACAGCATCATTGCCTGATGCATTTTCGCCTTGGCTGCTACTCGCTGCAACCTACGAATCAACATAAGCCAAACAAAATCTTATCAAGTCATGCTCGTGTATGGAAGAAGTATGATGACGTTTCAATGGCATCAATTGAAGTAGGAATGAAAAAATGAACGGCTAAAGCGTGGCACAAACCTCAGAAGTTGCTGATGTGGACGCCATGATTCGGAAGAGCGTTCTGTATAACAAGGGTAGTTTTCACTTTTGAGGCACAGTACAGTACAGATGTGTATCGCTAGTAGAGTCGTTACTGAAACAGAAGAGTACGGTTGAGTTCCAGTCCGTACTGTCCGTACTGTCCATTAGGCGATGACTGTACTAGTACAATGTACAGTATGCTGCACTGGTCTGTACAGTACAGTACTGTAGACTGCCAGTCACAAGTTTTGATGTGATGAAGTTGGATACAGTACAGTGTACGTACAGTACAGTACTGTACAGTAGTATTTTTGAAGTTACTGTGTACAGTACTGTAATAGAGTCACGTGAGTGCCTCAAGTACTACGCACTGTGCACAGTATACTGAAATTTTCAAATTTTTACTTGAAATGACAGTACTGAAATTACTGATACTGTACAGTGTACAGTACTGCACAAGTCTTTTACAAGCGTTGCCAGGTGCCGAGCAAACTATAGGACGGAACGTAAAGCGGCTGCGCACTTCAGCTTCTCGCGCAATGTTGCCTGGCCCTGTAACACTTTGTACAGTACTGTACAGCATGTACTGTAGAACTCTACACTGTACAGTACAGTGTATAAATCAGGAGGATATTTACTGAATTATAGTTTTAAAAATGGATAGATCGTTCGTTCCTTCATCTATCTGTATGTATAGAATTATAGGCAAATTTTGCAGCTTTACTACAATCTATTTTGCCTAATAGCACTCTAAAGAGAACTGGCTCACATTCTGTACTGTACTGTACAGTACTCTTTTTCCATAACTGATTTGTACTGTACAGTACAGATTCTGCGCAGTTCAAAAAAGTTGGCCCTTTTGGGCCACCGTCATATTCTATCGTACCGTACTGTACGGGTCCGGGTGACATTGAACAGTGTCTTGCTACTGTACAGTACTGTACTGTACGTGACAGCGACACAAATCACTCAAACAGACCCAAGATTCAAATGGTACCGTACCATTATCAAGGAGTTTGTACCAACTTGACTGAACCTCGTAGCGCGGCACACCCATTGGCCAAGAATGAATCCCTACCGTCCACCCCTGTCTGCCGCCGTAGAGTACCGTACCGGACCCACTGTCGGTGAGAGGAGGATGAATAAATACTGTTGCTAACCATCCCTAAATGGCATACTGTGCTATGGTAGTCGAGGATGGAGAATGAGTCAGACCGCGGCGTAGCACATTCCTCTCCTGCTCACGGTACATAGTACAGTAGAATGCAGAGTAAGACCGCTGCGGATGGTAGAGTATGGTATGGAAAAGGAGGCACGACACGCCAGTCCAATAAAAAAAATTCCATCTAGGAAAAAAGCTCACAATCGAGACGCTATCCAAGGACGCCAAAGCATCCGCGATGCGATGCCCAATGAAGAGCCAGAGTGGATCATCAAGAGGCATTTGAAAGCTTGTACCTTATTAGACAGTTGGTTAACGCATATCGAATCTTCTTCCCCGCTAAGCTCGATCAATCTTCATTAGCTTTGGTGTATTACGGTGATTGGATTACGTTAATAACATCGCCGCGGCCTATTATTATTCTTCGCTATTGTCTCGGTCTGCAAGCCAGTCAAGCTCGTTGAAAGCCAAATATGGCAGAGAGCAATGTTGAAAATCAAGCGTTGCCTACTCCATTATCACCATCAGGTGAGTACTTTAGATAGCATTCAATGGGATACGAGTAATCCATCATTGGTATAAGGTAATAAAAGTCCATGCAAACTCCATGATAGAATGATGATTGATATTCATTCGTTGTCATATCGATACAGTGAGGTTGATGGATCACTTTCCAACCATGTTCCCATATCTTCCCTAGTCGTGTTGTATGAACAATCTTATCTAGTTTGAAACAAGTCAAGGCTAGACAGGAAGCGTTGGCTATGGCTAACTACTTTCTTTAGTATCGGCAATGGACTACAACGCTACAATAGGAGAGCATAGACTGTACTGTACACAAATCCTACACCATCAAAATAGCCTCTCTTTTCTCAATCCCCTATTAGTCCATTAGTCAACACAAATTAAGCCCATGTTGAAATTCAACATGGAAAATGATCTTATCGTCCACAGCTACTGTAGTAAAATAACATTTTTCTTGTTGTACAGCATAGTAGATAAAGTAATGTGTACAACTATTGAATAGACAATAGGAATGGAAAAAAAGGCAGTGGACTATTGAGTAAGATGCAAGATTTGATCTGGTTAACTGTTTAATGTTTTGATTGGAAAAGATTGTTTTTTTTCTCTCTCTCTCTTTTGGGGAGGGGAGCTGATGCGCCATATTTACTGACAAAATGATTCATCGCTTGAATGAGAACTTGGATGGCAATCACCTCTGTTGTGCCAACCCTGTTATTCAATGCCTTGTCGTTTTAATTGAAGCTTTTCATATTTTTTGATTATACTATATAGAGGATGATATAGAAAAGGAGGATAAGATAGACATGATACAAAATGATGATTCATTATTGGTAAATCAAATAAAGCACGATCATCAAGAACAAAAGAACCAAACCAATGATAAATTAAGTAATGAAGGTGATAGCAATGCTGAAAGTGGAAAGACACCTACCAATGAAATAAAAGATCATCATCCCCATACATCAACACAAGAAAATGACCAGAGTAAGCCATCGCAAGATAACAACCAAAATCTGAACAGTAGTAGCACGACATCGATATCACCAAAACTCGATGAAAGTCAACAGCAAAGGCCGCTTAGTAGTCCAGCCAAAGGTCGACGACCACAATCATCACCGGTAAGGCGAAAAAATAATGCTGTAGTTGATTCCAGACGTGAAAAAGTCAAACAAATACGCCAAAAACAAGAAGAGGAAAGGATTAAAGCATTAAAAGAAAAGCTCTTACAAAAAGAAGAACAAGTTCGCCAACGTCGGTTAACACTAGAAAGCAATCGTAAAGAACGCATACGAATGAGACAATTACGTAAGAGTAAGCAATCAATTAGCTCAAGTACCACATCATTAAAGGATAGACTAGCGTTAAGAGATGAAAAAATTAAAGAACGACGACAACAAATGGCTGCATCGGGGGGCAATAAATCACGAATACGAACGGAAAATATTAGACAAATGAATCAACAACGTGAAGAAGAAAGAAAACGATTGCTACAAGAACGATTTGCTGAAAGAGATTGGAAAATGAAACAACGAAAAGAACAAGTCGAAGCTGAAAAGCGTGAAAGGCGACAAAAATTAACTCGCTTCCAACCTGCGACTAGCCCATCCACGGGGCGTAAGTCACCCAAACGATTAGATAGCAAAATCGATGCTAACTCCAAGCAGAATAAGTTACGAGTTCAGTCTGCACCAGCACTACGTAAATCAAGACCGAAAGGGGAAACTTATCGCCCACGAACCAGTAGTTCTACTTCACCTCGTCGAACAGGATATAAACCACGAGCCGCTTCTTCAACTATCAACCCAAGAGGATCCAAAAAGCAATGGAGACAATCTTCATCACCTAAACGCCCCATTTCAGCAGCAAGTAACACTTTCACTCAGAGTAGTCAAAAAGATTCAACAACAAAAGCTGAAAGTCAAGTAGAAAAATCGACATCGAAAAGTACTAAAACTCGACCAAGTTCTGCATCACCTCGAAATCGTAAACCTATAAAATCAGCAGTAATAACTAGCGATAAATCAAAACGCCAATCTCAATCAGCATCAACCCATAAAAAAGAGCAAAATCAACAAAATAATGAAGTGCAGGTTCATAAAAAACGTACCAATACTATCACTACTCCTACTTCGCAACAAAATAATATGCTTAATGGTAATAAGAAAAGTAGCGATACTGCTTCGACTACGCCCCAACATAACCTAGCTAATGGGAGCAAGAAAACTACCAGTACTCCTACTACTAGCAAGCAACAAAATAGCGCAAATAGTGCTACGAAAGAGAAATCGACACCCGCTCAAAAGCCGAAATCGGCACCGAATAAAACACCTACTAATAAAACTACCGCTACAACGCCAAAATCGTCGTCATCAACAAGTTTATCATCACAGTTTAGGCAACCAACCAATTCGAAACGCAAACAAGGTGATAAAAAAGAAAAACCTTCCACTCCTTCATCTACTCCTCTATCTAAAGATGAAACCAATGAATCAACTGATAGTAAGCCTAAAGGAATTAAAGCTGGTAGAGGTAAAGGTGTCTATAAAAATCCTTTCGCTGAAAATACAACCCAATTAAGCTCACCTGCTCAACCGTCTACAAAAACGACTGAGAGTAATACGAGTAAAAATGATATCAACAGCAATGCTACCAAAGATGATAATGTTAAATCGACCAACCAAGTCACTACTACGATAGAGATCATTGAGAGTACTGCAACTTTTGATGTTTTAGACAATGGTAATATTGTTTCCAATGATGTAAATAATGAAGTAAAACGCCAAGATTCACTTCAAGAATCTACTACTACACTTGCTATAGAAAACGATAATAGCAGTACTGTTATTGACAATGAGAATAAAGTAGAAAATGCTAATCAACCTGTAATAACCATCAATGATGAAAATAATACTGTAAAAGAAGAGGAAAAACGCAAGGAATTAGAGGAAGAAGAAAAGCAAAAGGAATTAGAAGAATTAGAGAGAAAACAAAAGGAATTGGAAGAATTAGAAAAGAAACGATTACAAGAGGAACAAGAACTAGAAGAGAAACGTAAGCAAGAAGAAGAGGAAAAGAAACGAATACGTGAAGAAACTGAACTACGTAAAAAGCAAGGTGAAGAAGAAAGACAAGCAAGACGGCAGGTAAAGTAGAATGGATTCGATTGTTTATAAGCGTACAAGTACTGCTTGTACGCTTACTATTCCCAGTTTGGATCATATCCAAAATGAATTAACTCTAATGTATCTTGATACGATAGCGTGTAGCAATGATAATGCAGAAAGCACGTCGCTCCAGTATTGTACCAGCAACTAGTCAAGAAGAGGTAAATTCACGATTTTGTAGGCAATCAATTCGATTTTGAACCCTCGAATTGATTAAATCTCGTCATAACATCAAAATACATTGCTTTCTTACGAATAAGGTAAATGAAGACAAAGATACAAATAGTAGCAATCCTCCAGCTTCTGAAACGTAGCTTCTGAAAGTGATAAACAAAATTCAAGTAATACAACAGCTAGCCCTAATCAAGATATTAGCGATGCATCAAGTAATGTAAATTCGAGTGAAAGCAAGCCTGAAGTTATCACAGAAGTTAGCAATGATTCTCACGATCACAAACAATCTGAAAGTAATCATCAGATATCGGAACTAGCTTCTATCGAAGATGGTAATCCGAATGCCAACATTGGTCAGTTGGAGTCAGCATCAACTGAATCCATGGAAGACAAAAAAGACATAGATAATGATATTAGCAAAGTCGATACAAACTCAAATGATGAACAATCGGACCAGATTGTATTGAAATCTATTAGCAACGATGTGAATAATAGTGATGAAGAAGTAAAAAGTGAAAGCGGCCAGCTAATCTCCGAAACCATCAATCTTAATGATGTTTCAAAAATCGATCTTATTGCACTAGGTAAGCTTACTACTGCTAGTAGCAACCAACTTAACATCTAAAATGTACAAATAGTATATCCGATTATAGTTATTGCATGATTTAAATTATACTTTATTGAATAGCCATTTAGTAATAATGGGGTTAAATCATATCTTTAATTGGACTAATATCAAAATTACAGAGGATAACGTAGTAAATGGAAGTGCCGATAATGAAGTAGCAAGTGAAGGAATTACTACCAACACTCTGCAGGTATGACATCAATTACAAAACCTAAAATGAACACTTTGATGTCACATTTCAATTGTTACATGATGAATTAATAACGCTGATGATCTATATCTGCCTAACTCGTGGTATCGTTTTATCTCTCTATCTTGTTTTTTGGAGCAGGCTGTTGAAGCATCATCTTCATAAAATCAACTGATGATATTGGAAATAGTAACGAATGTAAATTTTTTGGTAAAAGGATAAAGTCTACGAAAGAGAGATGCAGGAAAGCATAACATAAATAATATATTGACATTTATACAATAAATGACTACATATTTCAGAATGGATGCGGTAGTATAAATTACATTGGGGATATAATTTAAATAACATATAGTACGCATATGGTCAATTGTACTAGTTTTTCATTGCAAGATTAATAACTCCTACAATGTCTTCTGCTCGTGCATTAGTAATAAGTATATGCGCTACTATACTCGTAAACTTATTCTTTGGACCTGCTGTAGAAAAGTCTGTGGAAGACTAACAAATGGTATTATATTCATTTAGTAAAGACATATATTATATCTATGTGATATATCGTATCGATGACATTATTTTATATAAATTTTTTCCATTATTTGCATAATATCGCTGAGACTGAATTAAGAATTGAAATGATTACGCTTGTTGTTTTATAGTTCTATGCTATTACCAATAATGGTACCAAAAGTTTGTGTTTTTTTGCTATTTCTGTATGTGGAATACCTGTATAGATATCTTGTCATAGTTTATAGCCAACTGTACCCAAATGGCATGGTTATATTATAATGGTTGTTTGTAGCAAATTTTAATAATCTTGTCTACTGTCATTTCAACGTGATTATTATCCTACCATTTCAAATATCAACGAGGCATTTAATACTAGATATCTGTCTAAGTTTAATATGTTAATTTTCTGGTGACTGCTTTGCAAATATTTTGGCTTTTATATACTACTGATCCTAAGTTAATTTTAAAAACTGTATGACAATGATAGATCCTTCCACTTGGTACTGTATATTGTAAAGGTGTTTAAAAGCTATCGTGTTTGCATTCTACCCGATATCCAAAAATACATTGGCATATAATTCAATATAAGCATGTGTATTGATGCAATGGACCTGAGCCCATACCGATATGAAATTAATAAATTTTAAAATTTTCTCTAGTACAATATTTGAATTGATACTAGTTACGGAATAAAGAGTGCCTTCATATCTTTATAGTAAACTAGTGTGGAGTAGAACGCGTAATTTAAAAAGGTATGCAGATTATTACTTTTCTCTGCTCGTTCTTACTCTCTCCCTCAATATCGTCTTGGAGAACATTTTAAACGTCTAAAAGTACTGATGGATAACGATAGATATTAAAGCTGTATCAAGTTAAATAGAAAATTATCATTAGGTAATGTTTAAAAGTTACTTGATTACAGCAAGTAGTCACCACATTGGTTAAAATTAGCCATTGTAAATCATATTTCGATTGCACTGTTATCGATCAATTTAATTACACTAAATAGCCTATTGATCTATCAATCAGAAATATGGTATCATGTCTTTTTCTTTGCCTTCTTTATTATCTTTCTACTATCAAGTTAAATGAAATTACTATAAATTATTGCTAGCTTATTTTTGCTAAATTAATGTTATATAGGATCGAGATGGAATAAATACCAGAAACATCCGTCTTGGCTAAAATTGAGTATGCTATAAATCTTTGTCAATATAAACAATAAGCGATCAATATTAATAACATTAAATACTCCGCTGTTCTCGTAAATTAATTATTAATCAAAAAAGGAATACTTTAACGCATTTCTTCACCTCTCAACTCATATTGGTCTGCTGTTGAAGCAATGCAATCACTACGCCACTGCCGGTTTTGTTTTTTAACATTAATTAAATCCAAAAATCTTTCTTAATGACTAAAATTAGTACGCTATAAATCTTTGCCTTACATCAATTTATGGAAAACTATTTATAATCTAATTTTAATTGTATCATATACTCTCTATTTTGAGAGGGAATTACTGTATCTATCAGAGTAAGATATAGCAATCCTAATTTTATCCTTTCATGCTCTCCTGTTATTGAGATAATTAGAATCATAACTATAAGTTATTACACGTATTTTTTCCTATTCATATTATTCAAGAGCCAACATGAATAAAATACGAGGAATAACCACAATGGCTAAAATTACTCCAATGTCATTCCAGTCTCACGCTAACGTCCATCTAGCGTTATAGATTGTAGAGCATTTGCAATTCGAAAAACAAATATTGGTGTTTCATAGGGTAGGAATGATTTCACGTGATATGGACCATATGGTAAAATTAATCGCAATTTAATTTTAGCAGTTACATAAGGCCAAAGACTGCTGGTTTCATTTCAAGCCCATCGGGTTTTAGCTAATAGAAATAAAAATAGCTTCCATTATCCAACTTATTGAATACATCATCCATCTTGAAGTAAATGGCCCGCTTCTTTTGATGGTCACTGTCCAATCTAATTAGTAAGTGCAATTGTAGCTTGTCTAACGTATTCACGATCGTGATTTGATTGTAGCTTCGAATTTTAAAAAATTTAACCAGTAAACTTTAACTATAAATAACTATTCAGGCAAATTCTCTCTTTTACACATTTATGCCAAATCTACATCGATATTAACAGTTCTATCTGGGCATGCTTTCTTAACGCTTCATGATAACACTTATCCTTACAATCCTATTTTACGGTATGATTCATTTTCTTATTTTAGATAGGGACAGATTCTATCATTATTTATATTTTTAATAGGCGTAGATCAGATAGTAGCATAGTACAGTCTTAATAAATTGACAGATATAGCTCTTCTTGGCAAAATATACAGTCTTTGTTATCAATTCAATTGCCATTACTGTTCATAAATAAATAACATTGGCGTCATATTATGATCCTATGTGCATGACTATGCATTTTTCTTCCATCAAACCATTTCATTTCTCCTTCTGTATCTAAATTGATAGATATAACTAACATCTCTTTTACTGGGTTAATACAGAATCATTTTTATTCTTTCAGTTGCCATTTACCAATAAATAAATGACATCAGCGTTACATTATTTCACCCTAAGTTAAATTGCATGACTGTCTATTTTTCTCCTATTAAACAGTTTTATGTCATAAGTTGATAGATATACGAACAGTTAAGAGCGCCTCCATATAAATATAAGGTCAATTTTATCCCTTTTATCGCCATTTTTACCTGCAACATAAATAACGTCGGCGTTATGTACTCCCATCCTAATTTAAAGCTTGTAACTGCACGTTTTTCTTCTATAGGACACTTTTATTTCATAAGCTGATGAGTATACGATAACTAAGAGCTCTGCTAGATAAAAACTTAGAATTACCTTTATCCATTCAATTGCCATTACCGAGGATAAACATCAACGTCATATTGTTATTTAATTTTATATAAATGGAATACTATCCATTTTTCTTCGGTTAAATCGTTTCATTCCTTTATTTTACAAATCAATAAATATAACTTATATCGTAACTTTCTTCAGTATAACATCGGCTTCATGAAATATTGAGTCAGATTTTATCCATTTTTTGCAGGTTTGATAGCAAATTTATGTTCTAATAGACCAAATAATAATTGTTTAACCTACCCATTTTCCCTAGTCACAAATAATTTAGCTTTATGTACTAGATGATAATCCTTATGGTAGACTATACTCGATTATCTTTGAAATGATTTAAATTTGTTGAAAATCTTCATTAAACTTTCTAAATCACTTTTTGCGATTGATTATAAACTTAATACAAGAGCAAAAAGTTATAAATCTAGATCAATAGGAACCAGTGGAGCTTACGGCTACAGCTTATCGGTAATTGCTCTTAGTAATTTTAATTCTGATACTTATCGTTTCATGATAAAGAAAATCATCTTCCTTAAGGCACATTGAGTTCTTTAACGTCATTTATTTCATGGAAAATTTTTGGGTCTTTATAGAATGGTAGAAAATTGTTGAAGAAGTTTATAAATTATATATTCAATGTATCTATCTCATAAACGGTATCGTTACGGTGGTATATACGTAATAAATGATAGCTTTCCATCATAGTAATTAAGGAATTGCTGCTTCGTATAAATATGGTATCGCGGTCTCTAATCTCCCTCCTAACTCCTACCTGTGGAAGCCCACTGTATTGAGCACTTTTTCTTGTAACTATCGTACTATCCTACTTGAAATGACTACTTGAATGAAAAGATTGGCGATCTCCCAATATGTAATAGTAAGCAAAAATAGCAACAGGAATTGATATTTCTGTCGCACCGTAAAGTTAATCTTTAATGGAAAAGAAGAGAAAATACCTTTAATTTATTTCCCACATGTTAAAATTTACCCTCTAGTAAAAGATAGAATATAGCTGAGTTATTTGAAGAAGCAGAAGTCCATTTCGTAGTATTTTTCTACTAAATATATAGCATGATATTTCCATTACCATTGAGATTTCATAGAGTTCAATATGGTCTGCTAACGCGAATAGTTAGCATTTCTAAAGTTGATATGATGCGTCATTTTTTTTGTCCCAAACCTTCTGCCGACAGCTGGGTGAATATTTTATTATTTTGTCCCTTTTAGTTACTTTAATGATGTGGTTGTACAATTTATAAGTATGATAAGGCTATTGTTATTTATCGAGTAAATATAAAATGCTATATATTGACAACCTCTTCAATGATCATGATAATATCAAATGCTATTTGCCATCTAATGTTAACCATGAAAATAACGTTCATATATTTTGAGTTTATAGTAATCTACTCGATTCCTATATTCTGATCGTCATCTTGAGAAATTTCATCATTATATTTTAATTAAAATGATTTTCTAACTCATGGAGATTAGAATACATTGCTTATATTTATTTTTACAGCTACTTTATTAGTGTTAGATCTTTTAGCATGACTGTTACTGATTCAATTGTAATACCAATTAATGTGATAGCGTCATGTTAACAGAATCAGAATGAGACTACATAACCAAAATCATAAAAAATTTATCCATAACAATTTTACTTTCTTACGATTGAACATCTAGAGTCGTAAATTATTAAATTTCAACCCGTTTAGTGCATTATATTTGCTATTTCATAAATTCTAAGATGGTATAGGCGAGAATATCAACAACTATTCTACGGTAGGATTTTCTTAAATTGCCTTTTCTCAGAAGAAATACGCGTATCACTTTGAGTAGACTCTAGG